CTTGTATTGCAAGAAAGAGAAACCGCATTGAGGGAGAGTGATAGCAATGTCCGCCATTATTTGCCGCGTAAAGTCCATAGAAAAATTTTTTGTTCCTAGTTTCGCCAGACTGGGTCGGACGGCTCGAAGGTTGTAGAGGGGAACCCGCTTATAGCCTGATAATATAGCTTCTTCATGAAAAACAAGACAAGCGACTAGAACCTTGATTTGAAATGATCCCGCCATCCATGGATATGTGCAATAGACTTTGAAATACCGTAGTCGTATCGGGTTCATAAATACCGCTGGGGATAAACTGTGTCGTGATTTGCAAGAAATTGTGGTCGACTGCGAAACCAGCAAGGCGGTATCGATGGCTTTGTCAGGTTATACAGGGTCTAAACTTGACAACAGATATCAACCCGAATCCTGTCTGAACTCTTCTCTACACTCCTCGTGGAGTATGCTGTAGAGAAAAAAGCAACAATGCTAACTCGCCACAGATGATTACAGTTGCTCCACGCTACGAGCTGAAAAGCATACAGATCGCAAATAGTGTCTCTCTATACAGAACATACAGAGTTTTTTAGACGCCAACTTGGCTTGTCTTTCTACATGACCGCGAAGTAGAAGGCTAATGTATATGCCAACGCCAAAATTTCCGATCGAGGCTGTGGCACCAATGGGAGTGCCCTAAAAAGAAGTCCTTTGTGAAGTAAAAGCGCAAATCTGATTCTTCCTACGGTTGAAATAATTTAAATTTAGTCAGCCCCATTTCATGATTTTGCTATAAAAAACCTCGCCTTTGGACACAAGTTTACTCTGACTCTCATCGACAGTAGGGATCATCCATTGTGTTACTTTTGTATCAACAAAAATAAACCTATAGCCTTTATATGTCCAATTGTTGGGCGAAGGCCACTTCTTTACGGAAGATTTCGCAAATATCCAGCAGATTTCCTTACGATGTTTTCGACTGAGTCAGACAGTCCTTCTGGGCAATGATGTTTTAGCAGTCTATACTGCGGGGCGTTTAAAAATTGTTTCGCTTTACATTATATGAAATATATGAGAGAGACAGATGATATAGAACGTATGATACGGAAGGAGATAGCGGTCTGTGGAATTGCAATCTAATTATAATTAAACCAATTAGCGTAATCGAGTGCCTAAGTTTATATAAGTTCGTGTGACAATTGAAACTGTTGCGTGGCCCTGCCACAGTATGGTTCGGAAAGGTTCAATTCGATGTCAACCCGGAGAATAGTAAGGCCAGCGTTTTCAATTGTCATTACCATTGAATCAAAAAAATAAATGCCATTATCTTTTGTGTATAAATATACACAAAACATAAATATGCTATATGAAAATAGTGTAGTTTTACTAGACGCTCGAGAGGCGTCTTGCTTTTCCACGGAATTGGTTCCCGGAATAATTTAAAGGATCCTATGTAATATAGTTTATAGTGGTAGTCCAGACTAAATATTTTCTAATAAATAAAAAAAATCGACACTGTTGAATTGCCTATTCAGTATAGTAGTGTGTATTACTATACTGACCTAACCTTTGATCATGGTTGAGCAATATTGTCTTTCAGCGCCCTTTGGTCGGTGCTTTCACTATGCATAAATTATACTTTGACTTTATATAATAATAACCAGTTTTTTCAGACCAATTTATTGCAAACATTAGCACTTACTGAATTTAAATTAAATCAAATGGGTGTCAAATTAAATCAAATCAATTAGCGTGGATTGAATATTATTCAATCCACGCTAATTAATCAAAGCTCACAAACAGCCTCACATTCTGAATCTGTGAACGAGGCCAATATAGAGGAGACCACCTAAATGTTATCTTTATATATATAATTTTTCTGTACGTGTGTATGTCACTGAACTCCTCCCAAACGGCTGGACCGATTTTAATGAAATTTTTTGTGTGTCTTCAGGTCGATTCCAGAATGGTTTAGACTCCCAATTCGGTCAACTACAATTTTTTTTCAGTCGTGTGTTTTTTTTTTCTTCAACGTCTGTGCGGTCCGCTAGTAGGATATATACATATATCTTTCTTATCCTTTAAACGAGCAATTATTGTATATATATATATATATATATATACATATATATATAATCGGAATCTCGGAACCGGCTACAGCGATTTTCATGAAATTTTGTATGTGCTTAGATTCGGGGGCGAAAAATCGATCTAGCTAGGTTTCATTTTAGAAAATGTCCTTTTATGGCTGTTTTCAGGGAATGAAAAATATAATTCGAATATGACGGTAAATTTCGCCGCAAGAGAAAATGTCATAATAGCTCGGTCGGTAATCGAGCGGCCCCAAAACAGACGGCCGTGGTTCGCGTCACGATCATTTACACATTTATTTTTTTACTTTTTTTTTTTTTTTTCGATTCCAGATCATTGCTTTCTTTATTTTTAATTTTTTGTCCATTTGTTATTTTGTTATTTTTTTCCCTTTTTTTTAAAGTTCTTTCTTTTGTTAAAAAAAATCAGTTCATATTTTCTTATTATTTCGTCGGTAAGATCGAAAAATATTATACGTATTTCATTAATCAGTAATTTGTATCTAAATGTAATTTCCAAAATACACGATTTACCAAAAAAAAAAACAAACCGAAAACAAAGCTCGGTCCTCCGGGTACTATAAAATACTTGACATATGTAGCTTAATGCTTTTAACGATCTTAGCGCCATCCATATTTTCCTTTTGTGTCTCGCTTGACAACTTGAGAACTCAGAACGTGCTATGAATCGACTATTAAGAGTTTAAACTGTTGATAAGATGTTTATGCACCTGAATGGCTTTTGTATTGGAAGCTTCCAAAACGACCTCGCAAAGGTTACGAGTTACTTACTTACTTTCTGAATCACGGGACGAGTAATTAGACATATTATACATGAGTGATGTGTATTAAAGACATTTGACAAGGTTTTCCTGAAAAGATGCCAAGTAATTATCCCCGCAAAGTGCAGCCCTAATAGGAGAATGCAAAGAAAGCTTAATCCTTTATAAAGTACACTGAAGAACACTAAAATAATGCTCAAGTCAAGGTAAAGGGAATCATGGATGACGGGATGTCGCAAATTAAACAAAGTTGTAGTAAAATATAAAGTTTATTTAACCGTTAACCAATGTTAGTTAATGATATCTCACAGCTACGTGGAAATAAATAACTAAAGTCAATAACAATTTCATAAATATAATAACAATTTCTTGATGCGGAACATTTCTACGAATTTTACTAATTGTCCATTTTAATACACGAAGAGATTGATGCTTTTCGAGTTCCATAGATATATAAATAATAAAATGTTGCAAAATACTTTTTTAACATTTTTGTGCCTTTACGAATAAAAATGTTTATATAGTATATTTCTAAACTCATACGTAATTACAGCAAATTATGCATAAAACCTTGCATCTCTTCATGATTTTTTTTATAATCTTTAACTAAAGTGATACATAAAATATTAAGTATATAATATGTTCTACACATTTTTAATTTTGTAAATTTTGAATACCGATTAATTATAATCTGTCTATTGATGTTTTTAGCATGAAAGAACGACAATTATTGAACAGGTGTAAGATGCTGCAAAATGTTTAATACAGATTAAATAAAATAATGTTATCATTGAAAATAATATAATTGTAGAGCACAAATTTATGCAATAACCGTTATAACTTTTTTCAGAGTTATGTGCTGCTATCTCGAAAGGAATGGTACACATCACTAATTCTTTCATTTTGAAATTCAAGTTATTTATACAATTTACTTACTTCAATACGAAAATAGTTCTCTTTTACATAGAGTATTGAAAAATAATTTACTACAACTCTCATTTCCTTAATCAAATCTTGCAAAATCAAAAGCATATGTATTTTATTACGTTTCCTAGAATTTTCATTTAAATTTCAAATTTTTATTTAGACATTGCGAAACATTTTTTTAACAAAAGGCGTTGTCATATTTGTAATAAATATTTTGCGGGTATTTCTTCTAATTTTAATTTGTTACAATAATACCATTTTCTTTTTCATTAGATTAAAAATATAACAATAGCGGAAGGGATCACACACTAATGTGACAAATTAAAGAAAACAGATAACCTATTGCCAAAAAGCTGAAAAATATTCAACATTCCCGGCATAAAAGTTGATATTGTTATTTCAACATCGAAAAAAAGAAAACTTCAACTTATTTGAATAAATGAACTTGTCGATAAAAACATATCAAGAACAACCTCTTCAGTCCATAACTAAATACGTAACTTAACATTTTCCATTGAACGAAATTTAATACTTCTGAAAATATCTTCTAGTTTTTTTTTTTTTAACTTTCATTCAATTATAATAAGCTAACATTTCGAACGTTCGTAAAAAAAGTTTCGCATGCAATAGATTTATGCGGATTCGTCTAAATATACAGAAATTACAAAAAAAATATCACGGTTATGATTTAATTAATGTACGGGAGAAACAGGTTTCCCCCATTCGTCAAAGGGACAGGCAAAGTTTAGATGATTTAGGGATTTTCACATAAAAAGTTTTAATTAATTAATTGATTTTTTCAATATAAATGTATGTAGACAAGTTTTAACACAGCTTCACACCAAGTATTGTAGTATTCGGCGATGAAAATTGAATATCGACCTTTAAAAAGGCAATCCGCCAATTTCGTTTATTGTCTGTCTCTATGTTAGCGAGCCATGCGACAACGCTCTACAAAGCCTTTGTCTCTTTTCCGAAAGTCAATGTACAATACTTATCGCCGAGTACAATGCTTAATGCTTAATCTTAATAATATCAATTAAAACATATATCAGCGTTTATAATCTTAGGCTCCAATTTTACAAATTATACGATACGAAAATTTTGATTCCATTTAGTTTTCGAACGTTCGGAAAAATAAATAACATATTTTTTTTAACCTGTACAAAATAAAAGTAAACACGTAACTTTTTCGTTTTTTTTTTGTTTCACTGCAACAGATTCAAAAACCGCCGCGGCTTGTTGATGGGCAATCTGAAATATTTTTTTGTCATTTTTAATCTGCGATAGCGTGTGCATCTATAGATTATGGTTCGATTATTTAAGTTAGTTAAAGTTACATAATATACATGTTACTCTCTTAACATTTGCAAATCTTCTTTAAAGCCACTTCCATTTTGTTAGTTACCTGTAACCGCTGGAATTGCATATTGTAATCGAAAGATTATACGGGCCTGAAACATGTCAGTTATTTAAATGCAAACAATAAATATGCAATCTCACCTGATCCGATGATTTTGATGTCGTCCTGCGGAGGAAATAAAAATCATTTCACTCCACAATCCATTAAGAGTTTATATGACAAACATTCTGGAGATTAATTTCTCACGATAATTACTTTGAAGCATTTCACTATTGAATAATATAGAACAGTTAAGGTTCACGCGTTTTATTTTGATTTTAATTCCTGACGTTTGGCAACACCGAGTCGCCGGACAAACAGATGTATTTACGTCCTATTATCAGATTAATAGGTAATAGGTTAACCGTCAACTATTTCATATTTTATAGCTTTGAAAGCTCAGTGTCCGGGCGCTCGTTTTTAATTCAATATACTCGAGCAATCTGAATTCAAATCCCGGTATTGGCACCGATAATTGTTAATTTTAAGTGCTGCCATAACACGTGCTCAGCTATGAAGGAAAGCATCGTGAAGAAACCGGCATATTTTCGAAAATGTAACAAAAGAAACATATATTTAAATAGAAGTCCGCCAATGAGCAGTGGGGTCGCGTGGTGGACTATTTCCTAATATCCTCTGTACAGACTTGGCCTTTGCCCAGCAGTGGGAAATGTAATGGCTGTTATTTCAGTGTTGTTTTAGTATTCTAATGTCGATAGTTTTAGTTCAAATAAACGCGATATATCACGTAAAGACAGTTCGACTTTTTGATGGCGTTAACATTTTTCACAACTTTTCAATAGTATATTTTGACCGTTCTACGCAGCAGGAGCTTACACTATATAGAAGTATTGGTGTTTGGATATAATTTTATGAATTATTAGACCCCTAGTACCACGGCATCACAACCTCTACAAACACCGGCGTGATGTGGAAGAGTTATACTTTTCGTTTCCTCTGGTGAACGAAGCAGCCGGGGCCCAGTCTATCGAAAGGTGGCAAAGCATCTAAAACTCTACGGGTGGTGCAAATAAATGTCAATGAGCGGTATCTCTTAACATCAGGTGAACCGCCAGCTCGCTTGCCACCTTCTCACATAAAAAGGAGGTATTATAGGCCAGAATACCTCAATAATAAGACATAAGACATAAGACATTTAATCCAAATCACTTAATATGTACACAATTATGTTACATTTATGCGACCCGAATGGCGTAGTGGGTAGTGTACGTGCCTCCTGCGCCAGAGGGTGTGGGTTCGATCCCAACTACTGGAAAAATATTGTGTGATGAACATGGTGTTTTTCCAGTGTCTGGGTGTTTCTATATGTATAATATGTATTTATTTACAAAAGTATGTTTAAGTATGTTTATCAGTTTTCTAGTACCCATAGTACAAGCTTTGCTTAGTTTGGGACTAGAAAATGTTGTGTACAAATGTGTCCTAAATATTTATTTATTTATTTATTTAGTTACAGTTTAAATAACTAGCCCGCGTACCGTTTCCGTCGCGAGCACTGGCCGGGTCCGTTGGACGGTCATCGTCCTCTGTGGGCGGCTGCCATCGGGCTGCACCCCCCTCCCAGAGTACACCTCCCTTAGTACCAGCAGCATGGTGTCTTCAGACTCCCTGCAACAGACCCTCGATATCAAACACTACGTGGGAACACGCCAAGTTCTCAAATCTCCCACCGCCAAAGCTCTGTTTCCGCTTCTTCTGTAAACTTTTCACGTTTCTATTTATTCCATAAACAATTTTTTTATTGACGAAAAATGATACCGATTTCAAATATCTCACTCTGTATCTCATTTTACAATTGATTTTCGGGAGTTCCCCAAGTATCTCTGGAGCCCAAGATTGGATAACAATGAAATTAATATGGGATCACACGGGAAGCACCAGCTTTTGAAATAAAAAAAGAATCATCGGAATCGATTCACTCGGTCGAAAGTTCTGAGGTGACGATGATTTAAAAAAAAACTACAGTCGAATTGAGAAGCTCCTTGAAGTCAGTTGAAAATGATTCTTCTGCTGTGGCTCTAATGGCAAGCTTGGCCACCAAAGAACGGCGTGAAGTGGAAGTATTAAACTTTCACTTTTAAATAGGTTGGCAACGCACGTGTAAACTTTGAAGTGCTGATGTCCAAGGGTGGCGGTTATCGAAGATCCACTCGCTTGCATTATAACTTTTAACATAAAAACGAGGCATTAGCCCCCGGATACTTCACTAACCAAACGAAATGCCCACATTCATGCAATAGCAAAAGCTGAATCGTAGGTCAGCGGCTGGAGAATTACTTAAGCCAAACGGTATTGTGTACATCAAAATTTCTCTCACTGCTACGGAGATAATTATAATTAAAATAATTCACTTTGTTTCACTGTCTAACTAATATATAAGATCCCATGATCCGTAAAAGCGTGCCGTTTTATCCGGCACCAGAAGGACCAAAAAAAAAAGAGATGAATACAACAAAAATAAGATGTATCGTTGTAAATAGTGGACAATCGAGGAATGGAATGGACATGAATTTCTATAATCAAAGGAATTTGCATTAAAACTGCTATTAAGGCTTATTGATAATCTTAAAACTACTGGCCGGCAACTGTCCAGACTATCTGGGTCTACTAGACTAACTTGTAAACAATTGTCATAATCCTTTGGCGAGTCTTCGCCCTCTCATCTTGCTTAAGCAGCCCTACCAAATTAAAGCTGCCACTTTCCGGCAACCTGCCACCACTGCCATCCAGCACTCACCAGTAGCATACGTGGCTGCTCATCGCGAACAGGTACTCATTGATCATCTCGAACGGCGCCTCCTGAAGAACGTAGTCTACTCTCCTACCGCCATTAAGCTTGCCCAACATTTCAGCGGTTGCTTGCACCTGATGTTTTCATGCGAAATTTCAACTCACGCGGGTTTTTTTAAAACTTGTAGAAAAAAAAACGGATGGAAAACTTTTTCGCCGCTGCGGAAATCGAACCCACGCCTTCCGTATACCACTAAGCTACACGGCTGATTGGCACCGACAAATATCTAAACGTATTTTTGTCTGCATTGCTTTTTAGCATTTGAAGTTTCAAATTTCGAATTCATTGTAGTTCGAAATCAATTGCAAAATTTGCACCTTTCAACACACGGATAGACAAAAAAATCGTTAATAAAGCAGCTTTTGCTATGAAGGAGAACTAGTAAAATATATTTACATAAAAAAAAGATTTCAAATATCGCACTCACTAAATATTTTCTATTATATTTCCATTCAGATTAGTGGTTGGAGGGTCTGGGATCCGGAATACGTGGGTTCGATTCTCGCAAATGCGAGACACTTTTCATCCTGTTTTTTCCTACAAATTTTAATGTTTTATCTTAAGTGCACTATGAAAATTTAAATTTCAAATGTCTGCTTAGAATTTATTTAGTTTATTAAGTTCATTAGGGTTCCGCACAGATGAGGCACATTATTAGGTTACTAGTCAATTAGATCCAATTAAGTTCCCGTTATCTTCGTGGTACGCTATACTAAACACTTGTATAAATCATGTTTGCTCAGTGCCGTGTTGGTGGTACTGGTATAGCCTCGATCTTAGTTCCCCCAATATGGGGTATATTGGGGGAACTAGGTATATTGGGGGGTCGAGACTATAACTCCATTAGCTGATACATCAAAATTTGTGCTCAAACCAGTTGACATGGCTGTCACTTCAATAGAATTTCATCATCACTAGCCAGTAGTAGTGACAACACATATTTGTATTGGTACATATTGTACTGTACTTACCTCGCTGTCACTGACGACTTCTTCTTTAGCCTCATCAGTTAGTTGCTCCTTCTCCATTTCTTCCTCGACAACCTAATGGGATATTGAGGGATTAATTTGAAAAGTGACCGCTTACAAAGTTTTTGCTGTGGCACTCAAGTGTTGTCACGCAATGCAGTACGGTGGCTCCGTGGCGCAGTTGTCAAGGTATTGGCTTCGGCGTCGGGGGTCGTGGGTTAGATTCCCACACGGGACAACTATTTGTGTGACCCACAATACAGTTGTTTCGCATCTGGGTGTTTGTCCGCGTGAATTTTATGTTTGTAAAACGTCCACGTGTGTTTTAACACAGGATAATGTTATCCTAAAGTAAGGGGAATGTTTAAAGAAAGAAAAAAAATTGCACGAATGGGCAGGTCCGTCCGGATAAGTACCACGACCTCATAGAAGTTCAGCGTGAAGTGGAGGCAGTCAGGGCCCACTTTGTTTAAAGTTGGCAACGAATCTGCAACCTTAACGAAGTTGCAAATATCCATGGGCGGTGGCTATGTTCTCAATAAAATGCGTGCGTGTACTTATAATGTAAGCGCGTGAGAAGTTATACTTCTTTGGCATCATTAAATAGTAGTTTTGATTCCATGCAAATAATTATTTACAATAAAATAATAAAAAGACTGGAAAGTAATATCTAATATATAAAATTCTCGTGTCACGGTGTTTGTAATTGAACTCCTCCGAAACGGCTCGACCGATTTTCGTGAAATTTTGTGCGCATATCGGCCAGGGCGAAGAATCTGACAATATCTATTTTTCATCCCCCTAAATGTGAAGGGTGGTCCACCCCAAACATTTATTTCTACCATACAAATAATTTACATGGCAAAACAACGTTTGCCGGGTCAGCTAGTAAATAATATAAATTATGCAAGCGCCGTTTACATTCTTTATTGAGAACTGTAAGGGGCGAATGTAATTGAGATTATTTTGCCATATATAAAAAAATGTGTGATGAAGGTGAATCTTTTATGCGTGCATCTTAAAATTAAAAAAAAAAGTAAAGCAACGTTTGTGTTAGAAAGGCCATTATAATATTACGGGTAGTGATTATTTAAATGACAACACAGTCAGAAAGTGGATTGATCGCTCCAGGCACTTAAAAGCGGATTTTAATCCTATATATTAAAATGGATTGCTGTTCGTTAGTCTCGCTAAAACTCGAGAACGGCTGGACGGATTCGGCTAATTTTGGTTTTGTAATATTTGGGGCGGTCCAGGGAGGGTTAGAACGATGAGAAATTATGGAAAAATTGCATGGTGCTAATTCCCTTTGATCGCGCGGGCGAAGACGCGGTTAACAGCTAGTATTGGATGAAAATTTTTGACGTTAAAATTTGTTAAAGTTTGATAAGTACGAAAAGATTGTCGCCGCAGTGGGAATCGAGTCCACGTCTCCGGCATTCGCGGCCTGACTGACGCTTTGGCCACTAAGCAAAACGGCTGATTGGCACACCGACGTAAATCTTAACGTCTTTTATCTACATCGTTTTTTAGCATTCGATGCAATGCTCGGCGCATCCACTGTTATATCCTTTCCGGCATACTTGTTTGCAGTGCAGAGATTAGCACTATAAAAAAAATTAAATTTCTGAAGATATTTGAATTCCAAAGCCTCTGTTCAAAAGCTGATGAGCCGTGATAGCTATGAGCCGTGATAGCTCAGTGTCCGGGCGCTCGCCTTTAATTTAATATACTCGAGCAACCTGAGTTCGATCCCCGGTGCCGGCACCAATTAAGTTTTTAACTTTAAGTGCTGACTTATCACGTGCTCCGCGGTGAAGGAAAACATCGTGAGGAAACCTGCATATTTTTGAAATAACAAAAAAAAATATTTCGAAGATATGTGAAGTCCGCCAATCCGCAGTGGGGCCGCGTGGTGGACTATGCCCTGATACGCTCTGTATAGAGGAGGCCTTTGCCCAGCAGTGGGACATGTATAGGCTGTTACTTTACTGTTCAAAAGATGGCTGAGGGTCTACCTTCTCGAGCTGGCGCTCGCTCGGCGGCTGGCTCCTCCACATGCTGGACCAGGTGCTGCGGATGGACTCGATCAGTTTCTGCTTGATGTCGGCGCCGACGCGGGCCATGGTGTCCTTCAGCTCTGCGGGCGTCACGGTGAAAGAGGAGAATGAGAGAGAGAGAGAGAGAGAGAAAGAGAAAGAGAGAGAGAGAGAGAAGAGAGAGAGAGAGAGAAAGAGAGAGAGAGAAAGAAAGAGAGAGGCCAAAACGAAAGCAATGTTTGTGGCTTTCCAGTCTTCGGGTGCCTTCGATTTGTCGTTCTAAGGGAGTTTTTGATGACAGAGAGAAGAGTGGGCGAGGAAAAAGAGAAGGAAGATGTGGCGCCGAACGAGGGCCTTATGTCCTTGTCGGAGCGTTAGTGTTACGTAATAGAGAAAGAGAGAAACAGAAAGATGGAGAGGCGAAATCCAAAGCAATCGTGGTGGCTTTCTGGTCTTAGCTTGCTTTATATAGTTTCGTTCTCCATGGGAGTTTTTAGTAATAGAGAGTAGGTATAAGAAAAGAGAAGGAAGATTTGACGTCGAACGCATGCCTTATATCCATGATGGTGCTTAAGTGAAATAGTTAATATGAGAAGCTATTATATTCTTGTTTGCTCTTTTGTGTATGACATTATTAGAACCCTTCATTAAGCAACACTCAATCGAGTTTTACGGAAAGGATTCTATGTTAAAAGCAAGATGTGCCGTAGGAGAACAGGGTAGGAGGAATTTTGATTTTGACACATACTGTGTACTAGAAAAAAGGCGCAATAAATTTAACACCATTTATTATTTTACAAAAAAAAAGACAATAATAAATAATAACAAAAGAATGGAAAAATAATAAATTGAGCTACGGTATTAGAATTGCTACTCAAATAAAAAAAAAATAACAAAGTATAAAAAATTGAAAATGTATTACATTTTTTTTCTACATATCAATTAATTGATTAGAAATCAACTATTATTTTCTCCAAGTCGTCAAAAAAAGACAAAGCGTGCGTCGAACGGAGGTCGAACGGAGGGCACATAACGCTTTCTCTTCACGTGACATATTTTACCAAATACTACCACTAACCGCGTAAGAATTCAATTCAAAAAGGGAAAGTTATATGACGACACTCTGCCGTTGAAACTAAACGAGACGTTAGAAGATTTAGATGAATTCGTTCTAAAGTTTCAAGCAGAAAACGACTGTATTCCAGGAGAAATAAAGTCGAAAATCTCAAGGGTAAGCAAACGGAGGGTAGGCAAGGGTAGGGAGTTAAAGTAATCGCCTCACCTAAGTGCATCCGCTTTCTGCCTTTGTGGTGAGGAATTTGGAACGGCTTCACGTCCTTCAGCTGCGGGTTGATCAGGGGTTCGATTCTGGAAGCGGAAAAAGTGAACTATACAAAATGTACAAAATGTATGTACGCACGTGACAACTTATTTAGCGTAAAAAAAGTGAAATAACTAAAAACTTTATCCCCTGTCAAGATACTCTTTGTTTGTGAAAAATACCTAAAATTCAATTGATAACGGTTTAAATATACAACTCGGAATTATCGGTAAATGTCAGAGTGATAGGGTTAAGTTGGTCGCATTTCAAACGTCGCTTCGTGTCGCTTTTTGGCTGGCGGTGTGCGCGCATCGTAAAACTGTCACCTTTCATAGATTTTTTCAAACGCGCCAAAAGAAGCGTAACTTCAAGAGAGCTTGCGTACGTAATACAAGTACGCAAAAACTTATACTTATTTGGCGTAACAAAACGAAAATTAACATCAAATGCACAACATGAAGCTATTCGATAAATCTCCCTTTAGTAATGAATCAAACGTCACGGTGTGGTATTAGAAGTTGTTGGTAGTGTAAAACTATTGCTCTTGTACAAACAGTCTCTGCTCACCTGTACGCGATGGGATCGTAGGGGTGGAATATGTTGAAGAACCTCTTGCAGGTTGGCAGGCAGAAGTCGGCGCCCAGCTGCTCCACGCCTCGTATGCATTCGAAGATCGCTGCGGGCGACAAGCGTCGAGTTTGTCACCAAGGCGACATACACCGTAAGCATAAGTTTTTTTTTTAATGCGAAAAGTTGTCAAACGAGCAGACGGTTCACCTGATGTTAAGTGAATACCGCCGCCCATGGACATCTGCCACACCCGCGGGTTACAAATGCGCATATCGTGGTAGGGCCACGCTGCATTGTTCGCTGTTGCACGAATGGGCAGGCCCGTCCGTGTGAGTACCACGACCTCACAGGATATCGGCGTGAAGTGGAAGTGTTGCACTTCTGCGTTTCGTCTGGTGAGTGAGGTAGCCGGGGCCCACTTTATTTAAAGGTGGCAACGCATCTGCGAACCCACGGATGTTGAAAGTCCACGGGCGGCATTTATCGCTTAATAGGTGACTCGCCGTTTGCAACTTTGTTAGATGAAAAAAAAATGTCCCAGAGGCCACGCGAACTTCGCGTATTTCGGACTTAGGACTTTGACGTATTGGTTTGTTTTTGTAGTTATTGCGAAAGTGTGCACGTTTCCACGAGGTGTTCTCCTCCGGAGATGCCGAAATGAGAGCCTCCTTTTTCAAAGTCGGCTAAGGAGTCGTGACCACGAAGCCACTCGGTAGGGGCCGCGTAGCACAAAAACTCACCGATGGGGCTGCCCAGGGCGTACAGCACGTCCGGGTGGAAAATCAGCTGAGGGTAGCTGACACTGGGCTGGCCGGTGCCAGCGGATCCGTTCACGTATCTCTTCTCGGGACCTGGACACTCCTGCAAGGAGATAACACTCGTATGTATATTTGAATACAAGCCGAACCGTCGAACGTTTTTTTCCGACCTACTAACTTCAATAACCAATTTTTGCTGACGAAAAACAAAAGTGACTTCGAATATCTCGCTCTGTATTTATTTATTTATGCTTTATTGCAAAACAAAAAAAAACTTAAAAAAAAAAGGATTACAAAGGGCATATATTCAATTTATAATTGATTTTCAGGAGTTCCCTAAATGTCTCCGGAGCCCAAGATCCAATACCGACGAAATTAATATGGGACCACGTGGGAAGCACCAGCTCTCAAATAAAAAAAAGAATCATCATAATTGGCTCACTCGGTCGAAAGTCTTGACGTTACAAATATAAAAAAAATGCAGTCGAATTGAGGACTACTAGAGACAATGGCAACTAACATTGTGACTTGAGAATTATGTACATATACTAGCTGACCCGGCAAACGTTGTTTTGCCATAATTATTTGTAGGGTAGAAAAAAATGTTTGGGGTGGACCACCCTTAACATTTAGGGGAATGAAAAATAGATGTTGTCCGATTCTTCACCCTGGCCGGTATGCACACAAAATTTCACGAAAATCGGTCGGGTCGCTTCGGAGGAGTTCAATTACAAACACCGTGACACGAGAATTTTATATATTAGATATATACAAGTAAAATTTACTTACATTAATATATAAATTTCGGAGTTCTGTGGTAACAAACATAAAAACAGGCCGAGGGCTGGTCGTACTCGCCCACGAAGGGTTCTGTACCATTAATAAATAATAATAATAATAATAATAAATAAATATTTTAGGACACATTATTTACACAACATACTCTAGTCCCAAACTATGCAACGCTTGTACTATGGGTACTAGATAACTGATAAAGATACTTTTTTCTTTTGTAAACAAATAACAACCACAAGACACTACGTTCATCACTCAATATTTTTCCAGTAGTGGGGACCGAACCCACACCCTCTGACGCAGGAGGGGAGTACACTACCCACTACGCCGTTATCTATAAAAGCGGCAGAAAAAATCATTTCAAACTTTTTGAAGTAGTTTGAAAAGCTCTGGAGGAAGTGAACTCACCTCAGGGGTCTGGTGGCACAGAAGGTCGTAGAGGATGACGCTTCCCAAGGAGTGACCTCCCAAGGACACGCCACCATCGAAGGAGGGGTTCCGTGCTTTGAACAGGCTGTATATCCGATTCAGCTCTTTGCAGACGGTGTCTATAATGGTCTGTCAATAGTCAAGAAGGATCTCAATGAGTTATTTGCTCAAAATAAATCCGAAATCTTTACATAGTACAAAACAAAGCCACCTCGCGATTTTGTTATAAAACTCCTGACATTTTGGACACAACAACGTCCGTTGTCAATGGTCTACGTAGAGAATAAAACAAAAGGCGAAGAACCCATCAGGCGATAAAGTGGTACAGAACAGATCCTTAGGGCAGCGTCTCCAACGTGTTGTTCTCGCATCCAGCCGATTGGAGTTTGATCAAATTTAAGTTTAGGCCCAATGATACTTTAGACGAGGTAGATATGGCACTAGCGCAACCGAAACTGGGACACTCAAATCACACCAAATGGTGTAATTAGATTACAACTCTATAGAATTGCTTTCCATATTATACGTTCTATATCATCAGTTACATTCACTTATACAGGCTGATTTTTTATACGAAGTACATAGGTACTTTGATATAATGTTAATTGAGGATTCAATAATTTAAAAAAAAAATGTTTTGAAAAAAATAACCAAAATATCAATTCAAACATTGTTTGTTTACCCCGATAAGAATGGTCACCCTATTGATAAGCGGTTTAGTAATTACGAGCGAGCCGCCCAGGCTTTGCACGGGTGCAATGTATTATACACACAAACCTTCCACTTGAATCACTCTATATTGTAAGAAAAAACCGCATCAAGATCCGATGGGTAGTTTTAAAGATCTAAGCATACATACATAGGGACTAATTGTTTTATACTATGTAGTAACGCGCAGGAATTTCTGATAGGGTGTCCATAATGTTTGAAAATATTTAAAATAATCTTTGAAAAAAAAAAACACCGAAAACCTGGCAATAGACGGGGCTGGTGTAGAACAGCACGTCCAGCACCGTGTCGTTGGTGAAGCTGCGCAGGCGGGGGATGCTGTCCAGGGTCACCCTCGCCAGGCGCCGGTCGACGCCCGCCTCGCCAGAGTGCAGGGCAGAGTGCCACGACACTGGCAACACCTGGAGCCAGGGCAGTGTGAGGTAAAATAAGCATTTATCTTTTTTTTTATGATAAGATGGCAAGCCAGATGGCGGTTCACCTGATGGTAAGTGATAACCGCCGCCCATGAACATTTGCAACACCCATAAGGTTGCAAAGGCATTGCCACCCTTTAATGAAGTAGGCCCCGGCCACCTCGCCAGACGAAACGCAGAAGCATAATACTTCTACTTTACGCCGGTCTTCTGCGAGGTCGTGTACTTCCCCGGACGGACCTGCCCATTCGTGCATCAGCGAGCTGATGCGTGGCCCTACCATTGCAAAAATCTTAAACGAGCAATTCTTGTGTACGTTCGTGTAGAAATCAATTTCTTAACAATAGTTTATTCTAAAACTATTTTTCTACTAATTAAAATACAAAACAGACTTCTCAAATATCCCGCTCCGTATTCATTTTATAATCGATTTTTAGAATATTCCTAAGTATCTCCGCAGCCCATGGTCCAATAACAATGAAATTAATATGGTATAATAAGCACCAGCTTTCAAATAAAAAAAGAATCAACAAAATCTTAATAAGATACATGCGTTTACACGCAGACACGCTAGGTTTCGAAAAACAAAATATTAATGGTATCAACTAAATTTACTTAATATAAAGTTGACAAAATTCAAATACATATATTAAATATATAAATTAAATGTCACAATTTATAAAAAAAGAGGAAAAAAATTATATGTATTGTCTTCTTATTAAAAACATTCTTTGACGTCATAAAAATTACTATCGTTTAACCACATTAGCTACTTTTTTTGTTAATATTCTCATTTATCTCTATGTATTATTTTTCAATGGCGTTTTTTCTCGGAACCCTGTAACTTCCATAATTATTCATCAAATGATTAAAACAAAATTTTAAAGCTGATGTTTGCTGCTACGGGCGACAAATACAATAAAGTTGACTTTTTTTTTTTAAAAATTATGTTATTAAGAATGTGTATTAACGCCATTTATTGACAATTTGTTTAAATTATAGGTAGGTGAAGTACACAAGTTTTATTCTTCAAATTGCAATTTCACAATGTAGCTTATTTGGTAAAACTTCAAATTAAGAATCATCATGTTTATATATTTAAATTCAAAATATCTTTATACAAACAGACGCTTGTGTGTTCTTATCTGGTATAGAAAAAAAATAAGTGTGTAAGTGATCGTGATTCGAACCGCGGCTGTCTGTTTTAGGGCCGCCCGATTACCGACCGAGCTATTATAACATTTTTTTTTGCGGCGAAATTTACTGTCACATTCGAATGATATTTTTCATTCCCTGAAAACAGGGATAAAGGACATTTTCTAAAAATGAAACCTAGCTAGATCGATTTTCCGCCCCCGAATCTACGCACATATTAAATTTTTACTATTTTTTTTTGCGGGTCTCCAACGTTTATGGTAGAGTTTTGGACCACAACGTACCTGCATACGGTCAAGGCTCACCTCGATTCTGCCGACGATGCCTCTATCGTACGAGTTCTTGTAATGGGACTGCAGAAGTTGGAGGCTCGTTGCGCGGAAATCGTCAACTGGATCGATGAAAGGGACACAGCATAAATATAAATACATTAAGGCACTAAATATAAATATTTTAAGGCACATTTTAAAACTCTAGTCCCAAACTAAGCAAAGCTTGTACTATGGGTAATAGAAAACTGATAAACATACTTAAACGTAATTTTCTTTTGTAAATAAATACATGTTATAAATATATAAAACACCCAGACACTAGAAAAACACTATGTTTATCACACAATATTTTTCCAGTGGTGGGGATCGAACCCACACCTACCGGCGCAAGAGGCAGGTACGCCAATCGGGTCGTCCCACTGGCTGATATACCATGAAGTCTTTAAAAATAACAAAAAGTGAAAAAAAAATAAAAGTGTTCTCCTCCTTTTCCAATGCGTCTCATCGTACTATTATTTTTTTTTAGTTTTAAAAATGATCGACCCCTGTCTATAAGGAGTCTACGTCATCGGTGCGTTCCTCAGGATTATCTGACAGGGAATCATTGCGTTCCTCAGGAGTGCCTAACCGTTGGGGGAATCACCTACTCACCGACTTCCTCGACGGGCCGGAACCGCATGTCGCAAGCCGACCCGACCCCGTGACAGAGCAGGACGAGATGATCGACCTTGGACGGCTCGCCATCCTCTATCTCGCTCTCGACGCAGCCCCTCCTGACGACGCGGGGCCGCACGGCCGTTTGCTAGATACGAAACGGAATAACGGTGACGGAATCGAACCCAGTACCGGATGAGACGAAAAGCGGGTCGCAAGGCGGCAACGCGCGCAGCCGCCGCGCGGTTCTATAACAACGTTAAGGTGGAATGGATTTCGGTGGTAGAGGATTAGCGGAGGAACGGATAGGAGTTAACAGGAATGGAATGGATGGTTGCGAGTGAATGATAGAACGACTTATTGACGATGAATGAATGAAACTACTGACGTCGAGGAATATACTTAGCAGTGAGTGAGACAACTGTGGTAGTACCACGCAACAGTCTTCTCCATTTCACGAATGGAAATTATACTTCTGCGTTTCCTCTGGTTAAAGAGGTAGCCGGGTTCCACTTTATTAAAAGGTGGCAACGAATCTGGGTGTTATGAATGTCCATGGGCGGCGGTTATCACTTACAATCAGCTGAACCGCTAGCTCGCCTGCCATCTTATCACATAAAAAAGTCTTTCTATTACTTTAGTCTACTTCTTACTACCCGTTACGAGTCTGCCCATTCATGCAACAGCGAAATTTTGGTGAGTATACGGAATGTATGATGGGCGGGTTTATGGTGCAACAGCGAAATGAGTCTATGGAATGCGTGATGGGTTTATGGTGTAATATTCCCCATACCGGTGGTGTCCAGCTCCGTGGAGGAACAGCAGCAGATGGTCGTGGTCTTCTATCTGGTCTTCCGGAATTTTAATCTTCAATGGATACCGGTATACCCATTTGCAGAGGGATAGGTGCTGGGATTGGAGAAGGATGGGTGAATGTATCAGGTATTGGGATGGGATGTGACTAAGAATATAAGGGGAACACGTCAATAAAAAGGTGACACGTCTTAAAGAAGCAGACGTCATCAAGCGTATTGGGATGAGATGTGATATAAGGAGAACACCACGCAGTTGGGCCACGTGGTGGACTATGCCCTGATACCCTCTGTATAGAGGAGGCCTTTGCCCAATAGTAGGACATGTTTAGGACGTTATTTTTGACGTAACTAATACATAACGGAATAACACGTAATGGTTAATAGTTTTTTTTCCTTTTCTTATGTGAAAAGTTGCCAAGCGAGCAGACGGTTCACCTGATGTTAAATGAATACCGCCGCCCATGGACATCTGCTATACTCGAGGGTTCCAGATGCGTTGATAACCTTTTGAAAATTGGGTTCCGGCCACCTGACTCACCAGGCGAGACACGAAATTATTATACTTCAACTTTGCGCCGGTTTTCTGTGTGGTCTTGGTACTTAGCCGGACGAGTCTGCCCATTCGTGCAACAGCCGAGGCTGCCGTGTGGCCCTATCACCGTGAAAACAGTTAGGGTTTGAGTTGTACAGTTTCGTCCCTAGATATAGAATAATCATTTAGTTATGTCCCGTGCATTTTTACTTGTGTTATAGATATCTGTTTTTAGGGTTCCGTACCCAAGGGGTTAACGGGACCCTATTACTAAGACTCCGCTGTCTGTCTGTCTGTCTGTCCGTTTGTTACCAGGCTGTATCTCATGAACCGTGATAGGTGGACAGTTGAAATTTTCACAGATGATGTATTTCTGTTGCCGCTATAACAACATACATTAAAAAACATAATAACACATAGCAGCACATGACTTTGACGAGACAGTTTTAACTCTAAGAAAGGCTGTATCATCACTCACGGGCGAAGAGCTGAAGGCGTCAGCGGCGCTGCCTTGCAGGAAGTGGACCATCACCGAGGGCCCGTGCATCACCACCACCTCACCCTCGGGGAGGACCAGCCGCCGGTGCCACTCGCTGGTCCTTATCCCGTGCTTGTATTCCTCCTGTTACGGAACGGTCGGCGGTTTTCGGACACGCTTTTAAACAACGCTGCCTAGTCCCGAACTGTGCAACGCTTGCACTATGGGTACTAGAAAACTGGTAAACATACTTCTCTATTGATGATGATTTTATAGCGTTTAATTAGATTTTCAATTCCCGACGTTTGGAAACCTGTCCAGCGTTCATGGTCACGGGACATAAAATTTAAATAGGTCGTTCATGGGGCAAGGTGTGCGCATGTATAATAAAATCCCACAGTCGATATAAGCCTGCCGCTTGATCAATTTAAACGTAAAATCAAAAGTCAACTCATGGTTAAAGCATATTACACTAGTGCGGAATATCTCGACGACGCCAATGTGTGGAGTTAATACTGTTGATACTCACGTAGGGTAGAATAAGACTATTATACCTGTATTTTATATTGTAATCTGATATCTTTGAAAAAGAGCAACTGTTGGGTTTTGTTGTCGGTCTCTTCTCAACAGAAACTGCTTTCCGACGTACCTTACGAACCTCTATGTATATTTTTTTTATGTAAAATTTGACGACTCATAAGAACGCGCAAGCGTCTATTTGAATAAAGATTTTTTATTGATTGATTGACAGACTGAGTTATTTTACGTCTTAATATCACTGTTAACTCGGGCTTCCGTCAATTATATTATTATTTATTTCTATTCCGACCTACGCAAAAGGAGCTTATGGTATCTTGAAGTCTAGCAGAGTCGGTATGCTTGGATTTAATTTTAAAGACTATGGGATCCCAGGCTGATAATATTAGTAAAAAATTACTAGTCGGTACATCATTAAAATTATTGCTTTTTTTTTTTTCAAAAGCTGACTTAGAAATTTTTGATAGTGTATTAACATCACGTGACTTTTCTGAAGATAGATATATGACCGTGACAGTGCGCTTTGTGTTGGCTTTAGATTGGCTAAGGTTCTACATTTGTACACAAAATACGTACCTCTAACTTGACTGCCACTGACTCTGGATAGGGAACGTATCTGGCATCGCTGTTACCTCTGTAGAACCAACTGCATCTGTTGAGTTAGTGAGATTCAATCGCCGACGTTGAATTTGGAGTCAGATCTCCTCGGCATGGAGTCGAAACCCAAAAGCTGGTCAGCTTTTGTGATTTCTAGGTTTTTGTATTTCTTTTGTGGGTCCTAGGTTAATTTGAAATTAATCTAGGACTAGTGATTCAGTACGTGAATAAAGTTATGTCGATTGCCAAAATATAAGCAAAGTAAACATTGGTACCAGGAGACAGAAAAAGTGTAGCTAGAGACCTGTTTAAAGAAGCCTCTGTTAACTGGGGACTGTGGTGGGACCACGCAACAATCCAACAGTCCTCGCTGCTTCCCGGACGGGCAGCTCCGTCTGGGTCTTGATGACTCCGTGGATATTTCCGTTTTATGTACGTATATATATATATATATATATATTTACCTATTATAATATTTATTGTTGTAAGTTAATAATTGTTATCATAATGTATGTTATCCTATTGATATAATCCTTTTAAATAGCTAGCACCTAATACATATCTCTTCACTAACTTTCCGGTTGGCTGGTAGAAATTTTTTTATGGCATTAAGCCCGCCGTTTGTACCAGTTAGTACAAAAAAGTGTGTAAATAAATAAATAAATAAATAAATAAATAAATAAAAATATTTTAGGACACATTTTTACACAACATTCTCTAGTCCCAAACTAAGCAACGCTTGTACTATGGGTACTAGAAAACTAATAAACATACTTTTCTTTTGTAAATAAATACCTATACTATGTTCATCACACAATATATTTCCAGTAGTCGGGATCGAATCCAAACCACACCCTCTGGCGCAGGAGGCAGGTACACTACCCACTACGCCGTTCGGGTCGTCAAAGGATGATTTTTTTTTTGGAATGGATACACGGAAAACATGTGTAAAATTTAAAAAATCACTTCTATAGTCTTGGAATATTACAAAGCCGATGTTCACTTACCGCATGACGTTTGACGGTTTCTCAGACCAGTACACCGGCGTACGCAGCCTGCCCACCACGTGAACGTCAAATCTGCCACCATCAGTCGGCACCAGGGTGTTTTCATCCAGATCGGCTGTAAACCGAAGGCATTTGCTGCTTTACTAACCCAATTCTATTGTAGCCCTCGATTCCGTTACGCAATCTCGAATACTAAAAGTCAGCCGTGTACTCAATCCACCAATTTGTTTCGATTGCATCGCAAGATTATCGGTTTTGAGCTAGACGATATATTGTCAATTGATTGCATCATAGCAAACAAAATTTTTCAGTACTTAACTCATTGTGGTCAGTTAATACCAACAAGTAAGTGCAATTAAAATTGACCACAAACTTTATGACCTAACTTCCTTACGATTACATTATTGACTGTGGTACAGCCACGTGTAGCTTCTGCTGATGTAGAAGATTTCCTCTAGCAGCGATATCATTTAACATCAGGTAACTGCTCTCTCTTTAACAGAAAGTAGATTAAAGAAGAAATTTGAAATAAAATCAGCACTGCACTCCTGCGGCTTATGCTGAGATGGTCCTTTCCGCCACCTTATCACAACACACATTTAATTGTTTTAATTTGTTAATATTAATATAATAATTTACTACCCATTTTTTTTTTGTTATATTTTTTTCTCTTTATGTAAACATTTTCTTTTCTGTTTTTATTTTTTGTAATTTTATTGATTAAGTTCTGTACAACAATTTTAAGGTGACGGAGTAAATGTCTTTAAATAATTTACAACTACAACGGGAAGAGAACTCACGACTATTGTAGGCGTTCTCCAAGGCCGTCGAGTCAACGGCGGAGAAACCCTTCCACACAGATTTGTCCTCTTGATCGACCCGATAGAACCAGTGATGCTTCACCGGGCTGTACTCCCCGGAAGAGCGGTTCTGGAAAACACTCTCGTTTTAGCTGGTTCATAGTAGACCTTTAAACCGAAGTGCCTAGCGTTTAAACTGTCGGATTCCCAGAGTTATTCGTGTGTCTGGATAGTCAGGATAACAAATTTGGTAGATAAAGTTTTTGACAGTGCAATTACGCAAGATGAACAAATATGAGGGATACAATGGACAGGCATGTTCTATGCTATTGTGAACGGTTGACAATGAAATTTATTCTTATAATTAGAAATTATATTTAAATGTGTGTTGTGAGAAAAAACAATTGGAGACGCTTTTCATTGAAAATAACTACAATTTGGAATATTGTTTAATAAGAAGTTTTGATACCTCTGTCATTATGGTAACGTTGTCTTCTTTTTCCTCTTGTAGTGAGTAATTATCGAAATTGACGGTGAAGGAATGTCCACCATCGTCTTTTTTCTTCTCCATAACGTCGATACCGTTACTCGCGTCTGAACTGTTACCGTTCATTGATTTTCTAAATTTGACCTTGTTCGAACCTAAATTATCTAGATTATTATCAATTTCTTTAACTGTTTCCGTTTCCGTATTACAGCAATGTGGTGACGAATCAGTGAACAATAAATTATCACTCTTGGAACTTGTTTTTACTAGTTCGTGTATATTACTACTACTAATGTCTGCATTAAGCCTATTGGAATTATCATTTTTGACGCTTTTAGATTCGCCTTTGCTACTAACCGGGTTCAAAGAGTTATCATCGTATACCACTGTGAAGAAGTTGATCGTCCTAACGGTTTGCTCTTTTGGAATGAAGTCTATATTAGCCGTAGATGTCAGGTCTTTTATTAGGTTCATATTTGCAACTAATGTTTCATGGGGAATGTTAGTTTTATCGTTGGGATTATTTCTACTTGACATGGATGTTGTATTGCCTACAATAGAACAATCTGAAGCGATTTTTGAAGAATCCTTTAAGGGTACCGTTTCTTGCCTATAGTGGTTTTGAGATTGGCTTAACTCAAAAAAAGACTTCGATGGATCGGCTTGTGTTGGTGATGAAAAGTAGCTTGAGAGTCTACTAAAGTCATACACGTCCGAATTTTCTGCTACAGCAGGTGGCTTGTCCGATGGTAAGTTGACTGAATGAGGCAGTGATATCACTTCATTAGATGGGTCTGCTGACTTTTCTAATTTTTTTTCTGGTGTTAGTTCAGAAAACGAGGATGATGAAAGTGGTTGATTCTCTTCGTTTGCACTCTCACGCTTTCCGTCAAAAATACTAGCAAAATCCGGTAGCTTGGCTTCAGTTTGGGGTAATGGTAATTCACCAAGAGATTCACTGTGAGACTTTTCAGAGCTCTTGTCTAAGATGTTTTCGGTTTCCACAGATGAGGAATTATTCTGATTTAACGCAAGTTGGTTCGCTGTTAAGGCTGTGGACAAATTACTTTGGTATGCTAAATCTGGAATATACTTTGCAAATTCATCTTTGTCGGTTGTTAAGAAACCTTCGTTGGACACTAAACTTAATCTTCTTTGAAATTCATCTTCAAAACCAGGTGGTACTCGCATTAATGAGCTCTGAGTGATGAACTGAAAACTGTTTAGGTTTGATGGAGACGTAAGCGAGTTTCGGTAGTGATTTTCTACTGCATAATTGCCTGTATCAAAATAAGATGCGATAGTCATAGCTGGACTGCTCGAAGTTGGGAGTTCGAATGATTTCGAACTTTTCCGGGATTCAAACACGTCATCAACATGGTCGGCATGCGTTTCTTCCATCTTTTTATATCTTTCCACTCTATTCGTAAAAGTATCGACGTCCGGTATAGGATCATCCGAGCTTTTTTCACGTTCTTTATATTCTATTTTATCATCATCCGTTTCCGATGGATCAATAACGTATTCATCAAATATAGGAAAATCCTTTTTCGCATCTTGTTCTATGGAGTGTACGTCCAAACCACTTTCGTCTGATTTCGTATCCTCTTCCTCTGCTGGAGGTGCTGAAGGAATACTTAATTGTCTGGGAAGTATTGCGTCGTCCAATGAATTTTTATATTCCGCTTTAATTTCATCGCTGGCATTCGTTGGCATATTATCAAAAAATGAACATTTATTTTGAAATAACCCCATATTGCTATCTTCAGGTTGGAAAGTATAGTCATGTTCAATGAGTACGTTGGAAGATGTTAAAGGTGTATCATCTGTACTCCATCCATAACTTTTGATTATATTACCAGTTTCGTTGATATTGTCTAAAAGTTCTGTGGCTGCTTGTACATGTATTGTTTCTATAGTTTCTTCGGTAATATGTGAAATTTCAGCGCATTGATCCGGTTCAAAATCCGTCCTGGTTACATCTGGTGTATTAGTTTCAGTAAGAGGGACTTCAACAGGGTTAGAAAGCTGAATAGGCGCTGTTATGTTTTCTATTAGCTGATCAGTTAGGTTTTCTGCTTCTTTTTCTCCATGTTTATTTACTTCTCTGCATGTCTCACAAATATTTAAGTCATTGTTTTCATGTTCTTGTTCCTTGGCCAACACCAAATTTCTTTCATCAGTTACGGTTGTATCAAAAAAATTCGCAGCGTTTTCATTGAAAGAGAATTCGTTATACTGAGAATTTTCGAAACGATTTCTATTTTTCATACGATTATCATTGGCAGAATTTGTCGCTTCGTGTAAAAAATCAGGCGTTGGTTCGCTAAACAGTGAAAGACAAGACGACTCTGTTGTTTTATCAAAGAATTTAATTGCAGAATTCTGAGAATCGGTAAGAGATTCTCGTTTTGAATGTTCATTAAATACGTCCTTCTTTTCTTTATTGACAGCTTCTCTTGAATCATCCAGTTTTGTGATATTTGAACCAAAAAGATTTTTATGTTCTAAACTATCACAGGTAGCTTCTTCAGGATTTGAATCTTTTGATATTGCGTCTTTTTCTTCCACATACTCGTTGCTTCTTGTTTCTTCCACATGCGCTGTCAAGGGATAACATTCTTTATCTGTTCCTACATAAGATTTGCATTCAGGCGGATGTGAACTGTCGAATAAACTTTGTGGCTGGTGCTGTGGGTCAAAGTTTAAAATTGCATTAGAACTCATAGTAGGAAAATTAAACTTTTGTATGGAGCCCAATACACTAGAAGCTTCTTTATCATCGGAACTTAATGTTTTAGGATTTTCCCCCTCAAGTTCTTTCATAATGTTCTGAGCATTGCTTGATATCCCATAATTAAAATCAGAAACAGCATCGGTAGCGTTAGGATCATACTTGTTGTTATTTGTCTCATTGGAATAAACGCTAGGTGTATAAGTGTCACTCGTTTGACTATCGAAATAATTGTATGAATAACTTGAAGGAGCATAAAATGCATCTTCCGGACCAATGTTAACATTACTTTTTTTACCCATTTGATAATTATAACCAACATTTGATGCCGGTTCAGCACTAGGGACGTATATTTCCAAATTATCTTGAGTCACAGTAAATTGATTTGAATATGTAGATCCACTCTGACTGAAATTATCGTATGGTATATTTTCTTGTTTTGTCGTCGCATCCATTTTAGTATAATTGTATGCTGGATCGAAAAAAGTAGTAACCGTATTTTGAATTTTGTTGATATCTATGGAGCTCAATTTAGACTTTAACGATCCAATAATACCAAAGCCTTTAGACTCCTGTTGAGGACGATCAAAGAATTCTGTCGTCTGTCTACTTAAATCAAATGCAGTGCTAAATTCGGGTTGCATGTTAGTATTTATTTGTGATTGGTTTATATTAAACTCTGGATAAGACGTGGCAGACGGAGTAATATCGGTACTTGATTGAGTGATTCCAAATGCAGCAGTCTTTGTAGGAAAGCCAATATTCGATAAAGTTGTTTCAGAGTTCCCAGGTATAGACTCAGAAGGAAACTGTGGAGTATATAAAGTGCCTAGAAAGGTGTTCGTTTGTATAGGATTGATCGTCGGTTTAACATTATTACTTATACTCCCAACGCCTTCAATAGGACCGGAGTAATACTGAGGTCTTTTCTTTGTCATCCTAAAGTTTTGGGTATTAGAAATTTTCGGAGGTTCAGTGACAATTTTAGAAGAATCCGTTGCAGCATTGTTTTCACATTGATCCGCAGGTTTTCTGCTTTCCTTAGATTTTAAGCTGAGTGCCGATATATCATTTGGGTTAATGAACACTGGTGGGGGAGGGAGAGGTACAGATGTCGAAGGAATATCAGTTATGTCTGATATGTTCCTTAGGAATATATCAGAGTTTGGTGCGCGCAATGGGATTTCTGAAGTCAATTCTTCAGCAAGATTAGTGATAGGCGGGTCTAGATTCAATTGTGATAAATGTGTTACTGACAGGTCAGATGGTTGAGAAATATTAAACGGTAGCTTAGCAGAAAATTCTTTTCTAGAATCCTTGGTGTGTTGTACTTCCCCCGGTGCCGGGGTTGATGTATTTGCAGCTTGAAATAATGTTGGCGGTATATATTGTGACGGTACTGAGAAGATTTCCGCAGGTGGAAGCTGTTTTGATTCAAACTTTGTCATATTATTATTTAGTATCGGGGCATTAGTCAATTGATTTGACATTAATGGTATGGCACTACTTTTTTCAGGATTTGCCACATTCAGTTCCGGTTGCGACTGTGTAGAAATATTTGAATCCGGTACAAATATATTGTGCAGTGGTACAAGTGATGGGGGTGCCTGAGGTTTTATAACTGGATTGCTCGCCGAAATGCGTCTCGCTATGGATGGTGGTAACACTGATCGCAAATTGTTCTGGCCTTCGGATCTAGGCAAGTTGGAAAACATTGGTGGAGGCGGTATAACGGAGACGTTAGAAGCACTTGCTGGCATTACAGATTGAGCTGGAGGTGTATTTATTATCATTTCATGAGATTTTTGTGGTTGGATCAAATCCATTTCATTGCATTTTGCCAATGTTTCGGTGGATTGTATGTTATCCGGGTCACATTTATTTTTGTCTTCAATGAACGAAATAGATTTCGTTTGGTCATGAAGCGCTGAGGAAACTGCTAATTGCTTTTGATCCACGTTAATGGAAAATTCTTGTGGAATATTTTGAGTCGTTTCTACAGCAACATTCGATTCGACGTTTTGTGCTACCGTTTTTCCAAAAATGTTATAATCGAGTTTAGACTGTGCTACTTCAGTCGACATATTGAAGTTGTTATTGTCCGTTGCGTCGGACGTATCAGGTGTGAAGAACGACGGTGCGTTAGTTAAGCCCATAGGTGGATTGTATGTGGGCAGGTTGTGTGACATATCTCCTGATCTCAGTCCTGGTATCGGCGCGTACATTTTCTTCCTCGTCGTTATGCGATAATTGGAGGCAGTACCTGTAACAAGTAACGAATGCCACGCTTATTACTAATTCTAGACTTTCTACTGATTACTATCTGACTTATTTCCGACACGCGACTGGTTTGAAAAGTAACTTATTACGGAATATATACAGTGAGCTTTAGAAACAGTATAACGTTGGAATAAATCAATCATAATCCTAACAGTGGTAGGGCCACGCAGCAGCTTCGGCTGTTGCACGAATGGGCAGGCTCGTCCGGGTAGGTAGAACGACCTCACAGAAGACCGGCGTAAAGTGGAAAAATAATACTTTCGCGTTTCGTCTGATGAGGTAGCCGGAGCCCAATTTCCAAAATGGTTGTCAACGCATCTGCAAACCCTCGGGTTAGGTTAGCTACAGCCTCGGTCAGCTACTGGATTTGTCACGTCTACGTCATTTGGATATAATACGCTTTCTTGATTGACGGCTCAAATTGCAGCATCATCGTCTTTGACCGTAATTTCAAAGTATGAATGATTAATTAAGCCATGGGAATCTATCGATCCAGTATGTTAGTGTCTAGGGGTAGAAACATTCAAAGAAGCAACGGCTTTTTTATCATGTATATTTATCGGAATGCGTGCCCTCAACCGTGTGTGCAGGGAGAAAGCCGCGCTAAATACATAAATCATATGTGTGCCGACTTGCACAAGCTTTATTAGATCCTAGAGCGCCAGTTTAGCTCCAGACCCACGTGTAATTACAGGCGCGACTCAACTACGGAGAAAACCCGTCATAGCACGTGCCCGTTGTTGCGGACGATTCGATTGTTTACAATTTATAAATCGAACAATATATTGGAGAGTACAGCACTTAATTATTTTGGTAAAAAGGCATACGCCCGTGCACACGGTAGTCCATCAATTCTATTCGGTAAGGCATGACTTTAATCTACAACACACAAATGTCATACTTTATGCCACGCAGCAAGCCATACTGTTGCACGATTGAGTAGGTTCGCCTGGGTAAGCGCCAGGGGATCACAGAAGGCCGTATTGAAATGGATATATTAGAGTTTGGCGATTCATCTGGTCAGTAAGGTAGCCGGGGCCCACATTAAAAGGTGGCAGTGCCTCTGCAACCCTACGGGTGTTGCAAACGTTAAGTGATAATCACCACCCATCTATGGGTGTGATTATCACTTAACATCAGGTGAACCACCAGCTCGTTTGCCAACTTCACAGCAAAAAATTAATAATTACCTATACTACTAATGCTTTTTAGCCATTGTTATGGTGACGTGTCCCACTGCTGGGCAAAAGGCCTCTTCTATACAGAGGGTATTAGGACATAGTCCACCACTCTCTGTGGACTGGCAGACTTAACATATCTTCGAAGTATTTTTCTTTTGTTATCATTTCGAAAATATGCAGGTTTCTTCACGATGCTTTCCTTCACCGCTGACCACGTGATAAGTGAGCACTTAAAGTTAACGATTTCGTTGGTGCCGGCACCGATTTATTTTAATTCAGATTGCACGATTATAATTAAATTAAAGAATTAAAGCGAGCGCCAGGACACTGAGCTATCACGACGCTCTATTTCTCTATAGGATGACTGTTTACTAAATGTCGCTACCCACGGCGAAAAAACGAACACCCTGTAAAGGTCATAATAAAAGCAAGGGTCATTACTGACACATCGAGATCAAAGTCGTCGTTGTTCAAACCTAGCACGTGAAGAATCAAAGGTCGGTCGCAAAGCGTGATAACGTTTTAGAGTCGCGAACAAAAGAATTCTCGTATTATTACCGTGACGGAGTGGACAGTGTCACATGGCTGAGTGCCGAGCCCGTCGCCCTGAGAATATTAGATCCATCCGGCATGAAAGCAAAGTTATTCGTGCAGTGTTTCAAAATCGATACGTTTCGAAAATACACTCAGATCCGTTTTTCCAAACGCGCCTGGTGAAATATAACTAGTAAAAAAACACAGCGTAAGTAGTTGTACTTCCTTGGTATAATTAACATTTTTTTTTTGTATTCAAGTAATTATGAACTGAGAAAACGTGTTACATTTTCGCGCGCAACTTTGTGACCCGTAATTTTTTTAGTTGAGTTATGTTTCTCTTCTCTAGAATTTAAGTATGTTTTATAGTGGTGTGTTTACATGTAATTTGAAGATGTACCTAAAATGTCACAACCTAGCTCAGTGGCTAGAGCGTCAGGCCGCGAATGCCGAAGACGTGGGTTCGATTCCCACAGCGGCGACAACCTTTTCGTACTTTTTCTACATAGTAAAGTAGTAAAGTATCAGCCTATACATGTCCCACTGCTGGGCAAAGGCCTCCTCTGTACAGAGGGTATCAGGGCATAGTTCACCACGCGGCCCACTGCGGATTGGCGGACTTCACATATCTTCGTAATGTTTTTTTTTGTTATTATTTCGAAAATATGCAGGTTTCCTCACGGTGTTTTCCTTCACCGCTGAGCACGTGATTTCATTCAGCACTTAAAATTGACAATTTCATTGGTGCTGGCACCGGGGATCGAACTCGGGTTGCTCGAGTATATTGAATTAAAGGCGAGCGCCCGGACACTGAGCTATCACGGCTCGAGCAACTTTATTAACATTTTTTAAGTTAATTCCTATTTATATGTCAATGATCTGTATGTATTTAGTATACAAGCCTTAATAAATTAATATAAATGATTTTTATTACGATACTAGCGACCCGCCGCGGCTTCGCACGGGTGCCGTGGTGCCATTATGCATATAAACCTTCCTCTTGAATCACTCTATGCAGTAAAAAATTATTACAAAATAACAAATATTGACATTAATATTTATACGATACTAACGTCACTCAATTGTGTTGCCTTCCTAGAATCCCTCCACTAACACTTAAATTTTTTAATATCGTATTAAAGTTCAAATTGACTTTTAAGTATGAATCTTTTGTTTGGGAATATAGAAAAGTGCTGTTTTTAGACTTTTTCCGGCGTTAAATTTACTCTCCGTAAGAACCATCCTCGTACTTTAAAGAATATTATAAAAAAAGAATTAGCGAAATCGGTTCAGCTGTTCTCGAGATTTGCGCTTAGCAATCCATTCAGCGATTCATTTTTATATATAGAGATTAATGTGTCCCATAACGTTTTCAATGTTCTATCTACTACAGATTTGATTACTGGAGATTGAATTTTGACATAAGTATTATGGAGCTAATGTGAAATATATATCGCTAGTAACCAAGTCTATCTGTAGATTGAATATTGAAACCTGCCGTAAATCTACAGATAGATATAATATTGTAAACGGCCGTAAATCTGTCAAGACTAACTCGCGGGTACAAGCTAGAGTATACAGTATATACTCGTAATACGTGATTGTGTACACCTACAGAAAGACATCAACGGGAGTCATGAAAATATCGGCCCATTTTTTTTTTAGTTTATAACCACCATTATAACTTGAGCTCAGCGTTATAAATGTAAGTACCTATATTATGATTTAGATCACAGAACATTGTAAGTGTTCGATATAGCTCCTTATTGTTATAAAAAGTTTTCACGTTTTCACTTTTGTTTGTTGACATTTATTAATGGATGCCAGAGAGACAGCATTTTTATTAATGGTATAGAAGACAAATAATCTTGTGTACCATGGAGAATATAATAAACCTTTTTTACCAAACTGTGGGACTAATCTTTCTCCAATGCCCTTATAGATTTGTAATAAACAAATATTGATTATCTACTACATGTTATTTTTTTAATTAAATATCTATTTAAATTAACATTTAAAATAATTAGAATAAAAAATAGTATATAATCACGTAACTTTTATCTAAAAAAACTTTTTAAATTTAACGAGTTTATTTGAGATTTAGTTAAGGTTGATAGGTCAGTTTGTGTAGTTTTTAATTAAGAGACGTGGGCTTCGTGGTTCATGGGTTCTATTCCCACCGTATCCGTACCAGCTACAAATAAATTATTTTGTTTTCGTACAAAGCCTGTACAGTCATGATTTGACAACGATGTTATTTATTGATTACTAACGGTAATTTTGGTAACGAGGTAATATTGTTAGAAAAAGAAGAAAAAATATCTCTTTCGTATAACATCGAACGTGTCATATTGAAATTGTAAGCGGAATAAATATGAGCACGCTATGTTCTAAGCATACGATGTTTTATATAATAAATATCTTTTTTTTAAATATATATTATTTTTGATAAAAAGTTTTTAATACCTCTAAGAATGTGTACAAAGTTTCATGATAATCAGTTGAGTATTTTTATAAACAAACTTACATTCATATTTATAATATTATATATAAGGATTACATACATATATAGGCTCTGTGTGTGACATGACTTTTGCCCTTAATGAGCTCAATAGACCACTATAAAACGACTCAAATACTTAACTTATCTCGACTGATGTACACGGATTCTGTTCTTATCCAAAGATGTAAAAAAAAGATGAAAAATACTCAACTATTGACATTTATTTTAAAATTTGCGCAATAAATGATTAACGTTTATTTGTGACCAATCTAAACCTATCACGTAATCAGAAGATTCTTTAGTCTTTAAAAAATATTTGGGATCTTTAATGTATTATTATATTACAAATAACATGGTAAGTCTCTATTACATGATTTATATTAGAACACTTTTCTTGTGTTTTATTTTGTTGATACCTCACAGACAATCTGTTCACATTTGTAAAATTAAGATTAATCACACAGACGGATAAGAACAACTTTTTACTTACTTTAAGATGACATTACATGGTGTGGTAAGCACGTTTTACAAACATAAGCACTCAAATGCTAAATAAGTATCTGTCGGTCACACAAATAGTTGTCCCGTGTGGGAATCGAACCCACGACCCTCGACGCCGAAGCCAATACCTTGGCAACTGCGCCAAGCAGTCATCACAACAGAAGACGGAACAACTAAATCAAAAGACGGAGAAATATGGATAGCAACTCACCAATCGTCGGGGGTTCTTTAGGCTGGGGCGCCACATCTTTGACCACGTCAGGAACGCCCATCAAGGGCACACCGCTGTCCACAGGCTCATGCGAACGGTAATCGGGCACCGGTCCCCCCTCATCCGGGGTGTGCTCCCGGCTCTTCATGCTGAGCATATTCGAGAACGAGCTGAACACGGCGCTGGCCACCTGCGGCAGAACCGTCGGCAGCTGCGAGAAATTCTGCGCAATGTCCGCCGTCAGACTGTGAGGCACATCATCTGCGGCGGCCTTTTCCGGTTCGTTCAGGTTTATCTCCTCGAGATTCTCCTCCGCCTCCGCTCCAATGTTCTCCTTTTGAGCGCTGTTCAGCGGAGCGCTGACGTACCTGGTGCCCTGGAGCCTGGCGAAGTATTCGTTCACGTCGAAGTCGTCCTCGGCGCCCACTGAAGCTTTTGATTGGACCGTCTTGCCGGATTCGGCGTTTCTATCGTCTCCCAAGTTTTGACCATCGAATCGATGAACGTACGGAACGTTAGAAAGCCCATGAGGACGGCTAAGGTTTGAGTTAGCATCACCGGATGAAAGATCTGACGTGTTCTGTTCGGGTTGCCGCAAGGGACATCCCTGAGACCCGATTTGTTCATCTGAAACAAAAGAAATAATTTTTAAGTTAACACGTCAAGAAGGCTTTCTATATTAGACTATATCATCATCATCATCATCATATCAGCCGTAGGACGTCCAATGCTGAACATAGGCCTCCCCCATTGACTTCCACTTCGACCGGTGTAGCGGCCTCATAACACTGTTTTTTTTAAAATGTATAATAACAACATTAAAAACATTGAAGGCATTTTGCAGAGTTAATCGCAAAAATAGTAAAAATATAGCTCATAAGAACAAATCATATCTTGCGATAAGTAAAACCGTACCCTGTATAGATAATAAATCGTTTAGAAGATAGTCACATTTCGTAAACGTTTTAGTATTGACTAAGTATATACTTAAACCTTAAATGTCTATGTAAGGCAACGACATAACACGGTCAAGCGTTGATTACTGTAATCGCCGTACGAACTAACATTGACTTCCATATCAAACTTTACTCAGCACGAAATAAGTTTCAAAATGCATTATACTATGTGTGACGGTAAGTAATCAAACGTACTGGGAGCAGTCTAGAACGTAAACACATATCGTTTAACGAGTAAAACCGGTATGGTGGCAAAATTTGCATGAATAAAGCTGTATAGCAATTTATTGGATACAGTGCATCGTACTGCAAATCTGGTACATTAATAACTTGAGCATTGATATTTATATTATTATTGCATAGTTCAACAAATATAAATGTAGTTAAAGGAAGCTCCGATGAAGTAAGGTTACTGATCTTAAGTCTTGTATTTGAGTTGAGATAGAAGTTACGCCTTTAGTATAGAGACTATATAACGCTTCATCTAATACAGAATCGTCGGAAAGGCAAGTTTACGAGGGCCAGAATTAATGACCGAAGAAAACGATCCCCACCATTTTAAAGCAAACACAAATCAAACGGCAACGGTAATCCCGTATTATTAAAAAGTACCTGGAGGGTTTTTTTTTGGTAAATCATGTATTTTGGAAATTAAATTTAGATACAAATTACTGAGTAATGAAATATGCATAATATTTTTCGATCTTAGCGACGTAATAATAAGAAAATATGAACTGGTGTTTTTCACAAAAGAAAGAACTTTAAAAAAAAGGGAAAGAAATAACAAAATAACAAATTGACAAAAAATAAAAGATAAAGAAAGCAATGATCTGGATACGAAAAAAAGGAAAAAATAAATGAGTAAATGATCGTGACACGAACCACGGCCTTCTGTTTCGTGGCCGCTCGATTACCGACCGAGCTACAATTTAATATATATATATATATATATATATATATATATATATATATATATATATATATATATATATAAGAACTTTTTTTTTCCGGTGAAATTTAACCGTCGTATTCGAATAATATTTTTCATTCCCTGAAAACTGGGATAAAACGATATTTTCTAAAAATGAAACCTAGTCAGATCGATTTTTCGCCCCCGAATCTACGCACATACTAAATTTCATGAAAATCGCTGGAGCCGTTTCCGAGATTCCGATTATATGACATATATATACATACAAGAATTGCTCGTTTAAAGGTATAAATAATAAGATAACGAACAGGTGTGGTCGAGGCTTAACATAAACGGAACATTGGTTATTCAGGAGCAAGATGATTTCAAAATATAGTCTGAAGTAGGTTAGATAATGTGATAGGCAGATGGTATATCGAGAAAGAGGGCATTTAAGCCTGATAAATTAGGCTGATGATGGTGTTTGACGAATGGAAGATACTTTTATGTATCTTCCATTCGTCAAACACCAATTAATCTCTTCAAGACATTTTCTACATTCACCGCTGGTAATACAGCGTCTAATATTGCAACAATCAATTTCATTGGTGCCAACACTGCGACATCGCAGTTTGCCGCGAACTAGTTCTGTGGAGCGCCCGCGTGGGCTTCATTAGCCGCGTGTGGCAGGGGAGTGTCGTCAGGTAAGAGTGTCAGTGGGGGTGAGTGAAAACGAACTCGACGCGAATCATTATCGCCGAGTGGGTCGCTCTCGCGTCGCAAATTGGCGTACGCTCGCGCGGATAATACCAATTGGGCGTTGTCATTCGAGACCGCTTTAAAAAGTAAAGTAACAGTCTGTACAAGTCCCACTGCTGGGCAAAGAAAGACTGTACAGAGAGTATAAGGCATAGTTCACATATCATCGAATTTTTTAAGTGTTTAAGTTAAGAATTTTTTAAGTTAACACCTCTTTAGGCGCGTAGAGCACTTTTTGGGTGAACATGGAACTCGCGTCATCGTCACCAAACACTTTCTAAGAACTATTTTTATATATAGTATATTATATAGTATATTATATAGTATAGTATACTGTGTATATGTGTGTACTGTTTGTCTAAACAAAAAATATCGTCACTGAACGCTTTCCGTGAGCTATTTTCGGAAAGGAATACGCAAAAATATATTTGTAGTTGTGGATATGATATAAATACTGTTATTATCGTTCGGAGTGTCTATGTAATATGTAGAATTAAATAATGTACAATTTTAATTTTGATATTTTTTATGTTTTTACCTCTACACACAACACAGTGGAACGGCGCGAAGTGGAATTGGTACAGCTTTTGCGTTTCGTCAGGTGAGTGAGGTAGCCGGGACCTACTTTATTAAAATATGGTAACGTATCTGCAATCCTACGGTGTTGCAAATTTCCATTGATTGCCACCTTCTCACCTAAAAAAAAAGTTATCAAACAATCAAAACAAATTATATTAATCGATAGGACTTCTGCCCGCGACTGTACACTCCGCTTACGTTCAAATTTCTAACGATAATGATAACGCTCGACCTGTTTCGACGAGTGTCCGTGTCCGCTCGATGTTAGGCCTTATATAGGTTGACATCTGTCCCGAGGTCTCGCGAAAGGCTACCGAGGAGGAAATCATTTTTTCCCAGTGCAATAACTGCCCATATCTCGTTTAGGTGATAAGCTAGACTGACGCCAGTTTGCTGTGTGCCAATCGGTAAGCTTTCTAGAATTGTCTTTAAAGGACTGGGAAAAATCAAGTTCAACATCTAAAAAACTAAAATACGAGTCGGACTCGCACACGAAGGGTTCCGTACCATTATCTAGTACGTAATTGTATTTGTACGAGCGCCCATTCAACTCATTGGCGTCAACTATGTATGAATGGGGAGATCCCTTAATATTTAATTTTTTTTTAATTTTTTGGAGTTTTTCCTTTATTTGTGCTGTAAGACCTTGCTTTTTGCCAATTTTCGTGATTCTCAACGGGAACTACAATATAGGTTTTCGACCCAAAACCTATAGTGTTTTTCCGATTGACCAGGAGTTACAAATTTTGGTCAAAACCAAGGTGTTACAGCACAAGTAAAGGCATAATTCCGAAAAATAAAAAAACGTAGAAAATTAAGGTAAAATTTGATACTTACAAGTTTACGCGAAAATCAAAATTTGCCCATATGATATAGACCTCAGTATCTGGCATAAAATTGCTACGTACCTATTTTATTTATTTTTATTTAATTTACTTTATTAGGAAACTTCACAGCATACAAGAAATGTGTAGCATAAATACAATTAACAAGGATATTTAGCCATTAAGGAAGTTACAACTATATACATTTTTTTAAATTAATGGTACGTATGTGCAACAGGCGTAATATAGATTACAATCTGTAGTTGTGTGTGCGCGCGTGCGTGCGTGCGTGATTGCGTGCGTGCGTGCACGCGTGTACACCCGTTCCTGTGAAAATAGGTGGTGACACACGAACAGATAGAAGGAGTGATCTTACAAGGGTTCCTTTTGAGGTACGCAACCCTAAAAACGAAGATTGCAATGAAATTTAAAGATGAAAAAGGAGTGTACTCGATTGTGTCCAAGTCAATCCATATTATAACAGACTGGATTAATGTTTTGACTATTTGTATGTGAGAGGATATACAATAAATCTGAGGTTGTAGTAAGTGGGTCGATGAGCTAAATACCTACTCCGAACTTTGTATAAAGTTCGGTACCTAAGTTTGGGTGGGGCTCCATGTTATCAATAAATGGTGACACGCTTTAAACAATTGCGAAACGCGTGTTGCGGTTCGCTAATGAAATCCGCCAATGTAATAAATTAATGTCTTTTTTTAATTTGAGAACGTGGCAAGAGAGCTGGCGGTTGATCTGATCTGTTAAGTGATAACCGCTGCCCATGGACAAGTTGCAACACCCGTAGAGTTGCAGACGCGTTGCCACCTTTCAATAAAGTGCGCTCCAGTTGAGTCACTCACCAGACGAAACGCAGAAGTGTAACACTTCTACTTTACGCCGGTATTCTGTGAGGTCGTGGTATCTCCCCGGACGGACCTGCCCATTCGTGCATCAGCGAAGACTGTTGCGTGACCCTAACACAGTAAAATAATATATCTCTAACACAGTTATAATATTAATCTCTATTATATATATTATTTCTCTTCCAAGTTAAAATCAGAGCAATTTGGTACCAGTAAAGCGTTTTATGTCACTGCCCGAGGACCCGACATTTTTAAGCACAATATTTTATTACGTTACGTATTATTTTACTCGAGAAGTCATAATAATTTTGATAATGATAATATTATTATTTTTTCTGTCATACCTAACAGCGCGTAGCGTCTAACGGTTATCTTACTCCACACAATCCTTTGTATAATGTTTTAGGAAGAAAAGTGCGTATAAAGAAAACTCAATGAAATATTTGAACAAAGAGTAAATCGGGCATTTAAAAGATCACCCTAACTATTCACAGCGACTGCAACACGATGATTCAAGTGCGGCGTTTGTTTTTCCGTAACGTGGGGGCTGATCATTATCAGCGGTACACCTCTATTTGTTACCTACGGCCCGTGGGTTGATATTCCGGACATAATGCTGACGGAATAGAACCCGGTAGTCGCGACAAATTAACGCTTAAATACTTTTTGATTTGCAAGATTTCGTCAATGAAGTTTTACTTCTTTGGCCCATGAGTAAAATTACACCTTAAAAGCGACATGATAAAGTCCTTTGCAAAGCGATCAACTTCAACTTCATAATTGACTTTCAATATATTTTTTTCACAAAAACTACGCCTCTCCGCGTCTTGAATTTTGTGTGTGCTTATTAACCTTTCTTAAAAAAGATATACAACACACACCTAGACGGACGTCAATGGAAAGCTAAGCCAAAAGGGCAAAAGTTACTATTCCAAAAGTCGCTAGTTCGGCTTGCTTTTTAACCGACTTCAAAAGGAGGAGGTTATCAATTCGATCGGTACATTTTTAAACATCAAATTTATGTAAGGCATACACAATGTATGCAAACAGGTGCTCTTTTTACGTGCGTCCTCTAGGACGCGGCGCCTACCACCACTGGTTTCTTTGCCCAGCAGTGGGACATTTATAGGCTGTTAGTATCAGCCTATACATGTCTGACCCCATAGTTATATAAGACGGTACTATTCGATATTTTCGCCCCTAGCACTTTGGTGGCGGAACACCACACCCAATCAAACAAAAAAAAACCAAACCCAACACTGGTTGTTCTCGGTCGGGAACCGAACTAGAAACCCTTAGGTTGAAAACTCAGCGCCACTGTAGAGAAAGCTAACGGGACTACCGAATAAAAAGTACCAGGCGATCATAAAACTTAGGCATCGATCTCTACATACAAAGACTAAGACATTGGCCTCAATAGACTGTCAGACATGTTTATAGTTAGAAGTTGGCACTTTACAATGTGTAGTTAAGTTATAGAAAAATGTTTTCAGGATTCGAATCCGCACCTTCCGAGTAACGCGCCCAAACGCTCTAACCACTAAGATAGCGGTCGAAATACACACCCGGCGAAAATCTGTACATATTGTAAGGCCTGGCTACTTGTGCTTTCTACTAGTTGTGATATTTTTACAAAAGAAGGATAGTTGCAGAAACGAAATAAAACAAAATCTATTTCAACAAAATCACTTACACATATGGGAATGTCGTCGAACATTCTTATCAATCACTTTTCGCGCCAATAGGCTAGCGAGTCACCAAAGCATGCGTGCAAAAAAACAAGCAAAACGGAAACCATTATGACACCGACATTAGATTCAAGAGCGTCGAGTCTATGTTTCTAGTTCAAAGCCGCCTTGTCTAGAATGAGTGTTTACGCTTGCTCATTTAGAGTCGAAACTAAATCTTCGGACATTATCGCTGTCTAATCGAGATGTGAGCTTACGGTACAATGTATATTGAACAATCTGCTCTTAAAATAGCTGAAGTATAATAAAGTATTAAAAGATCGTTTGAACCTGAGACAAGGTACGCCTTCCGTTGTACTATAGCGCGCATTGGAAACACATTCACGCCCAATGTGGATTAATTGAATGTGGACGCCATTATTCTTTTCAGTTACCGCACGCCGCCTCTAGGCATTGTGTTGAAATATAGGCAACGTAAAAGATACCAGGAGTACATAAAGACGAGACGATGGTTATAACAACAAGGGTCAGTAAAGCCAAATTATTTTCACATCGATTTTATTTTCACAATCGATAACAGTTGTTGTTAATGCGTTGTGATGCAGAAAAATATTGTAGACGCTCTAAGTAAGAAGCCCTAATATCAAACTCAATCGAATTGTTCAAGTTCTCATCATAATCGTGATAATTATCAACTGGTCACGGATAACTGAGGTGATAGCTATAGTTCCACTATTAGAATCTTGGCCCTTATGTCTCCAAGGCCCATCACTAAGCCCGATCTTCTCAACACTCCAGTTGGTTCCTAGTAATTTTTCCTCTATGTCTTGAAGATATCTTCAAGACATAACGCCTATATATAACGGTGGAGGCTATCACCGAACAAAATACTACGCCATAAAAGAGAAAGCCAACGAAGCGTCCGTTTAAAAAGTACCAGGCAAGCATAAAATGCAGACGTCAAGCTCAGCCTCGTGTCGCGTTACACAATATCGACGCAAGCAAGGCGAATATTTACTTGATTACACATAGTAAACAAAAAAAGGACGGAAGACTCGCGAAAGACAGAGAGCATGAATGGAGTAAGTAAATATCCTGTCTTGTCATTCCATAGTCAACAGTTATGTTGTCTTAGTAACAGTTTAGCAACTGTTTAGCAATAACATAACTGTTATCTTAGTAACTGTAGACATCGGCAACGTGCTGTTCTCGGTTCAAATCTTGCCTTGTACGTCTGCCTAAACTTTTAATAAAAAAAAAGTAGTTTTTATAGCGAAATACTTGTTTATAGCGAAATGTTGGGTAAGCTGAAGCCATTTTTTTGTTTTTTTTTTTATGTGAAAAGTTACCAAGCGAGCAGGCCGTTCACTTGATGTTTAAGTGAATGCCGTCGCCCATGGACATCTGCTACACCCGAGGGTTGCAGATGCGTTAAAATACCTTTTGAAAATTGGGCTCCAGCCCCCTCACGATACGAAACGAAACGCGAAAGTAATTATACTTAGAAGAAATTATACTTCTGTGAGGCCGTGGTACTTACCCGGACGAGCCTGCCCATTCGTGCAACAACCGAGGCTTCTGTGTGGCCCTGCCATAGTTATAGTTTTCACATAATAAATAGGTTGAATATTTTTTTTAAAATCCATAGACAAAAGGTCGGTATTGCACAGTTATCTGTTTCGATACATTAATACCACAAAGATTCCAACAGTCGTAACAAGAATTAAATATGTCTAGATAGATTCTTATTAAAATGTCTTTAACATAATTCGTTTGGTACAGGCAGCTTAAGCCATCATCTCTCGCTAATTTTTACGTATAGCCTTTTAAAAACATTACCATATTGGACTTTTAAAAACATACCAGATTTGGGACTCCCCATAAGGTGTGCAAGAATTTCGCAAAACCGCAACGCGTGCATTTCGAAATCCTAATCCGATGTGTTTCGCCTTTCGGATAAGTCCATATTTGTCAATAAAACATCACATTCGTTGACGATGACCGAAATTGCGAAGATAACTTTAATTAGCGTCATCTTACTACGCGTTTTCAGGGATCCGCGCGCGCGGATGAGAGACGGAACCCGTCTTTCGCGTAGTATACTGTCAAGGATCCAAATATAAAATATAAAAGTATTTTTTTTAACTAAGTATGTACATTCTTGGGGATAATTACGGGACTTTTAGGAAAAAAGTTCCTGCGGGAGGCGTGAATTTGTATTAATTGCCACGTAAGCGAAAAGCGTTATATGCCCCATCCAAACCAAAGACTCAATCAATTTTTTCCAAACTAGATACCATAAACATTTTAAATTGTTTATAGTGCTAATCTTTGCACTTAAGATTGAACATTAAAATATGTAGAAAAAGTACGAAAAAGATTATCGCCGCTGTGACACAGCGCGTTCGATTCCCACAGCAGCGACAATCTTTTCGTACTTTTTCTACATATTTTAGATACCATAAGTTAGGAGTTCTATAGAAACAGACTGGGGTAGGGCCACGCAACATTCTTCGCTGGTGTACAAATGGGCAGGTCCATCGGGGTAAATACCTCGACCTCACAGAAGACCGGCGTGAAGTGGTATATATCTGCGTTTCGTCTGCAGAGGGAAGTAGCCGAGACCCACTTTATTAGAAGGTGAAAAAGCATCAGCAACCCTACGAATGCTGTCAAATGTCAACGGGCGAAGGTTATCTTATCTTAGCTTAACACCAGATGAACCGCCAGCTCGATTGGCACTTTCTAACGTAAAAAAACATGGCAGTCGCATTGGGACTGCCGACAGAAGCTAAAACATAAAACATTATCAAAATTAAAATTGAATAATACTCAATTCTACATAACTCCGAGTTATAATAACAGTATATTTACAAATATATTTTTGCTTATTCCTTGGTTAAAAATACCTCATGGAAAGCGTTCGGTGACGATGACGCGGGTTACATGATTTTTGTTCACCCAAAAAGTGCTCAACGCGCCTAACAAAGTTGTCACTTCAAAACATCCGCTGATAATTCTTTTTTCTTTTTTTTTATTAAATCAAAACCGGCCAGCATTTGACTGCCATCCCACCTGATGGTAAGTAGCAAAGCAGCCGTTGATGGTAAGCGCGCTAGCTCAGTAGAAACCTATTCACTCTTGCCTTGAAGACGCCTACGTTGTAATCGGACGGAAAGACGGACGCCGGCAGGTTATTCCATTTATTATATTCTCTTCAATAATTTTATTTGTAAGGGCCGTATTGACCCTCAAAGTACAGATGATAAACGTAAGCGAGTTCAAGAGGTGTGCATGTGTTTGTAAATGACAAAAATTTTGTAATGTCACGAGCCTACGACGGTATGAGCAAAAAAATTATTAACATAATGTTTTCGCAATCATCGCTTGCGAAGACGAAACTGTACAGCGTGGATATTTATTTTATTATATAATTGCGTTGTCGATGACCCGGCTGGGCAGCTGCCAAGGCATTGGCTTCGGCGCCAGTGGTCGTGGGTTCGACTCCTGCACAAGTGTTTGTGTGACCAACAGATTTATTTATTTATTTATTAAGGTTCACCAATATTGGACACATTAAGAATGCAAAATAATCATAAAAGTAAAAAAATAAGTCGTAAATGTTCCAACAATTACACGTGAACACAGCTTTCTTAACATAAAACTTATACTCTAATTAAAATAATGTAATATCTATAAACTAGTGTGAGAAAAATGTAGAAAAACTAAAATTTTAATTACGGTTACAACATAAAATATTGATAATAATAATTAAGGCAATTAATAGGTACTTCTTATATTTATCGTTAGTCCAATAAAAAATCTAAGATTGACTTTTCAAATTTTTCCAAGGACATACTTAAATCTATATGACTTGACTATCTAACCATGACTTTTTGACAAAGTGTTATATATTTTACATAGTCTTGCTAGTGTTGAAAATTGTCCGAGATTAGTTTTAAATGCTGGCACAACAAATAGATTAAACGATTTTCTCCTTATTACGAATTAAGAATCTAAAATGAATTCAGCGATTGAAATAAGTACAGCGAGTAAATTGCGTAGAAAGCGCAAAAGGTCGATGTGATGCGCAAAATATTTCGTGGCTCTGTGGCGCAGTTTCCAAGGTATTGGCCTCGGCGCCTGAGGTAGTTAGTGGCTACCGATTCCCAAATGGGACCAATATTTGTGTGACCCACAGATAACTGTTTTGGAACTAGGTACGGTTTGTCTACGTGAAATTTATGTACGTAAACGCTTACAATACAGGATAATGTTATCCTACATTAAGAGCAACGTCTTTTCTAACTAGAGAAAGAAAAATTAACAACGCCTACATCATGGCGAACCTGTTGTATATGTGTACTTCTACCTCAAAGGCTGGCAGTAGAGTATTCTGATGTTGCATGTGTCCATGAGCGGCGGATGTTGTCCCCTAGCACCTTTGCCTCCTTTTCGAAAAAAAAAAACACAAAACTTCTACAAATGGCGCATAAATTTAAAAGTTCATCTCGCCGACCGTCCTCTCGGGTCTATCGATTTGTGGGATCCATCACAGAGACAGCTGACGCGATCTGGGTGTCCTAATAAACACGCGTAAACATGCTTGTCAACGACGGTAAAAATTTATTAAAAGGTGCGACAGTCTTGTCACAGTACGCGGGATATGATTGATTGGTAGTGGCTTCGGCTCGTGAAGCGGTTATTAAAGCACGCTTCGCTGTTATTAGAACCCCACGATAGCGAAACGCGAGTCCGCTTCCGAACCACTCGGCCACCGCCCCTCACTATTCTTACCCGGAACCCGTATCTTCGCCAAAAGCGAGTTTCTCCCTTACTCGGAAAGGTTTTGTCACTCGACTGACCGGCAGGAAATAGGCAATCGACGTATATGACAAGTTGCGTGGCCAATATGATTCCGTGCAAGTGACGAGCGCTAGGCGGGATTGGATTTTTTTTATTGGAAAAGCACGCAAACTAGCAAGTGCGACACCTGGTGGTAAGTATTCGCCACCGCCCATGGACGCTGCAATGCTAGAGGAGTCACAAATGCGTCGCCGGCCATCTGACTGGCCAAATGTGAGTGATGTTAAACGAACACCGTACACAACTTGACTAATGCCGTACGGTCCTTACCAGTGGCTGGGGTATGTGCGAGTCCCTGTGAGCCAATAGTACCCACTAAACAACCCACGTTTCACCTGTCTCTGTCGCATCGGTGATCTGCAGATTCCGGATCTCGACGTTTTGTGCATTTTGTAATTGCAAAACTTATCTACAGCACAGGATAAGACAGCAAAGTTCTTCACATATCTTCGAAATATATTTTTTTTTTGATATTATTTCGAAAATATGCAGGTCTCCTCAGGATATTTTCCTTCATCGCTGGGCACGTGATAAGTCAGCACTTAAAATTAACAATTTCATTGGTTCCTTCACTGGGGTTCGAACTCGGCTTCGAGCATTGAATTAAAAGCAAGTTCCCGGACATTGAGTTATCATGGCTCATATAGCTAAGAGTTAAGCGTTTAAACGCTTTTAAACGACCAAAGTTTATGCATTTTTTTAAATTAATAAAAACAATGCTCTTAAAATACTAGCTTTGAAAAAAATCACAAATCGCTACCGCTCCTAACAAACGCGCTTCCTACAACTGGCACATCAAAGGGGGCCGAAAAACGTCCGACCAACTTTATAGAGATAACGATAAATAGTAGTTTTTTAAACCGGCGAATAATACTTGAATACCACATTGCTAAGGTATACGTATTTCTTTTGTAAATGGAAGGTTGATTGATTGAAGCTGATGAAAGGCTCGAGCTACCTCTGCAGCTCCCCCAGTATATGGAGTGACGTCCTGTGCAAGTTTAAGGGAAGTCGACGGATGCTGGTTGCTCAGGAATCCGTGGCAGTCTGTAGGGGAGGCCTATGTTCAGCAGTTAACTCAAACAGGCTGGAATGACGATGATAATGATTATTGAACAACCCATGTCGTCCTTGTCTATCTGCCTGAATATGAAGGACTCAAAAACTACTGTACGGAATTTCATACGGTTTTCACCAGTATCCAGTGTGATTCATGAGGAAGTTTTTTTTTTTTTGCTAAAAGTTGTCAAGAGTGCAGGTGGTTCACCTGATGTTAAATGATTACCGCCACCCGTGGACAACACCCGAGGGGTTATAGATGCGTCGCCAGTCTTTTAAAAGCGCGGACCCCGGCTATCTCACTCACCAGACGATACGAGTTTCCAGAGCTTGTCGGAAGCTTCTATGGGCTTCTTTAGAGTTTCCAGAGCTTGTCAGAACCATCTATGGTCTTCTTTAGAGTTTCCAGAGCTTGTCAGAAGCTTCTATGGGCTTCTTTAAGAGTTTCTAGAGCTTGTCAGAAGCTTCTATGAGCTTGTTTAGAGTTTCTAGAGCTTGTTAAAGGTAAAATAACGGATCGGAATTCCTTCGGCGTGACCAGTCTCAAGGCACCGGAAGGTTGATAGCGAAAAATCAACACGGATAGTTAGTAATGGGGGAAAATGACGAATTGCCCTGCCCATTAAGCCTAAGTCGGGTGCGCAGAACCGCGGCCCGCTGTAAAAATACGAACTTCAATACAAAGTTTAAAAAAATTGGGAGAGACTTGGAGAAACGTCGTAAAGCATTTAATTATTTCATACTTGCTACTGCCCGCGACTAGGACTGCGTAGAATAGGCTGAAGGCGTAACATTCAGACAGAAAGACAGAAATACGTAAACATATGTATATAAATTATAGCCCATGTGTTATTCTGACGTGAAAGCTATATTATTGTAAAGTTTCATTAAAATCCATTCAGTAGTATTTGCGTGAAAGAGTAACAAACATTCATCCATACATACAACTTTCGCGTTTATAATAATAAGGAAGTAAGGATAAACAGTAGACACGCAGGCGCCTGCTAGGCTCTCCTGCTGTTAAATGATTTACGCCCATAGAAATCATTTTTGATAACTATGGGCCACCAGAACAACCTTTACAATCAGTAAGCCCTTGTTACCTTACATTACAGACGAAACGCAATCGTTCTTCTTTGGTTCGTTATCAGTGTCTTTAACATTTGTAAATATCTTATCTTATCCTTTAAACGAACAATTCTTGTATATATATATATATAAATATATATATAGATTTGGGGGCGAAAAATCGATCTAGCTAGGTTTCATTTTTAGAAAATGTCCTTTTATCCCTGTTTTCGGGGAATGAAAAATATCATTCGAATATGACAGTAAATTTCGCCGAAAAAATAAATTTTATAATACCTCGGTCGGTAATCGGGCGGCCCCAAAACAGACGGCCGCGGTTCGTATCACGATCATTTACATACTTATTTTTTACTTTTTTTTCGATTCCAGATCATTGCTTTCTTTATTTTTTGTCGATTTGTTATTTTGTTATTTTTTCCCTTTTTTTAAAGTTCTTTTTTTTTTATTACGTCGGTACGATCGAAAAATATTATGCATATTTCATTACTCAGTAATTTGTATCTAAATGTAATTTCCAAAATACACGATTTACAAAAAAAAAACAAACCGGTCCTCCAGGTACTTATCATTAAACTCTGATGAAATAATTGAAATCCATCTAAAAGCTTTTCCGTGATGCCCGCAAAACTTTTTTTTTATGTGACAAAGTGGCAAACGATCTGGCGGTTCACCTGATGTTAAGTAATAACCGCCTGCCCATGGACATTTTCAAACACCGATAGGGTTGCAGATGCGTTGCTACCTCTTGATTATGTGGCCCCCGGCTACCTCACTCACCAGACGAAACGCAGAAGTGGTACTTCACGCCGGTCTTCTGTGTGGTCCTGGTACTAACCCGGACGGACCTGCCCATTCGTGCAACAGTGCACACCGTTGCGTGGCCGTACCACCGTTAACTTAAACTGTAGACATTATTCACATTATTTATATAGAAAAAAAATGTATTTTTGGTATGGTGCGCTATAGCGAAATCGTTGTTCTTAAAACCTTAATAACTATACATTAAATGAAGATATGACAATATTTTTAGACGCGTGGCCTACGTGTCTAAGAAGTTGATGACTCCGTGGCGCAGTTGCCAAGGTATTGGCTTCGGCGTCGGGGGTCGTGGGTTCGATTCCCACACGGGACAACAATTTGTGTGGCCCACAGATAGTTGTTCGCATCTGGGTGTCTGTCCGCGTGAAATTTATGTTTGTAAAATGTCCTTACAACACAGGATAATGTTATCCTAAAGTAAGGGCAATATTGTATTTAAAAAAAAAGTACAAATTAGATGACTTAATTGAAATGTCAACACTGATTGCGGATGTGTTGCCACCTTTTAATAAAGTGGGCCACGGTTACTTCGCTCACTGGAAAAAGGAGCTCCACGCCGGTCTTCTGTGAGGTCGTGGTGCTTACCCGGACCCCCCACCACGGTGGCCCCATCACAATTTCTTTCGGGGTACGAATACCTACAACGAATAATTTAAAAAATGGTTTGCAAGATGTTCTCACAGGGGGAAAATCCCGCGGGCCCGCCACCGACGGGTCTGGGCGGCCCTGGCGCGGCGAGTTAAAACCACCTGCGCCCGCGTTCGCGGCCAGTGCTCGCCACGCCGCTCAAACTCAATGCCAGTCAGTCTGCAGCCGGCGTCGTTGCTGTGCGGTCGTGTTTCTCGTAACTAGGTGGAAGTGCGCGTTGAGCGGGTGACCGAGAGTGTTGTTGTGTTGCAGAACTCGGGTGTCGAAGATCCGCTAGATACAAGTTCTGCGGGTGACAGGCGACAGGCCTAACGCCTGTCGTAAGCTCGGCGCGGCCCGCGCCCCTAAGTAAGTTAAGCGAAATGTCGACATTGAGAAAGATCGGCGACAGTGCGGTGTCGTTGTTTTGTTTTTTATTGACACGAGTTTCGATCGATTCAATAAAACGAATAAAAATAACTTTTTATCACGTTATAAGCAATATTGTTTACACGAACGCGTGTCGCCTTTGACATAATTAAAGTTTATATACAGAAAGCTATTAATCTTTGAGTAAACAAACAGGTATTATTTACCGTATATGTTAATCAACTATCCTTTCTTTTTTTGTTTAGTTGCTACAGATGAACTTTAGTGTTCATAAAGTTCATTCGTTTTTTCTTTAATTATAGTGATATAAGTGTGGTTCAATATCAATTAGAACAGAACAAAATTCAAGTTTTAAACTCGAAAATGATTATTATGTGTTCATCAAATTTTCAATATTCATTACGTCCGAATTTCTACAATTGTACGAACAATAGTTTACATGCAACATGTCTTACAAATACAATAAATACACTGGAAATTAAACAATTCTTGTTTACGTTCATAATGTCAATGTCAAAAGCATGAAGAACTTGGTCAGACAGTGGCACAGAGTACAGTTTATTGCCTAACAACTTGTGAATGTCACTTCGAATGGGTTTCGTTTCAATTAGTCCACCTTTGCCCAGCATTGGGAGAAATATAAGACCAAATGCATCGTCACTCAATTAGTGATTAGGATGTTTTAAAACAAATTTATTCTATACAAAAATCATGTTTCGCAGTAATCCGAGACATTTTCAGATAGACAGACGAGAATTCCAAAAACGGTCTTTTATTATTAGGCGTCATATATACGGCAGTTGACACTTAAAAATGGTAATTTATTTTTAAACTACAGACAGACGGATCGATTTTAATATTAGTATAGATTTAGTTTTTCCTAATTACGCAAAACCCTAAATTATTCGTATGAAAAGAGCATTTTTATAACATCATCTGAATATAGTTATAACCATAATTTTTAAAGTAAAACCTTAAAAATTATGGTAGAAATATATTACAACCTATCTTCTTATATATAAAAATGGATTGCTGTTCGTTAGTCTCGCTAAAACTCGAGAACGGCTGGACCGATTTGGCTAATTTTGGTTTTGAAATATTTGTGGCAGTCCAGGGAAGGTTTAAACGATGAGAAATTATGAAAAAATTGCATGGAAATTCGAAAAAGCAACAATTTTATTTTCCCATACAAACTGTACCTGTCAACCTGTCAACTATATCTGTGTTAACCTGTCAAATACTTTATGCGTGCGTTCTGATTCCTCTAGAAATAATTTATATGGCAAAACAACGTTTGCTGAGTCAGCTAGTATGAAATATAAATTTATCGTATGTAAATAAAACGTAAAAAACTATATAGATAGGATATTAACGCTATTTTTTATAAACGGAGCGACCAATCTTCTATAATCTGACAGAAAGTGCTTGATTAAAGTAAAGTGGAGGATTTGAGTGACACGAATTTAGAAAAATTATTGATATGAGTCGAGAATCGAAGTACGTCAGTGTTGAAAAGATATTGTATATTTTACCCGACTGTTATGTTTATGCCCGAGGGTTATGTTTTTGAGAGTACTCGAACGGCTTGGTGGATTGGATTTTAGCTTCAGAGGTGTCGTTAGATTCGTATTTACTGTGTGAGTAACACTGGATATATCAAAATAAAAAATTACACAGAAAAGTGATCGGGTTTTAATTGTTGCGACCCGTTACGGATACCATAAAGTATCAGCCTATTCATGTCCCACTGCGGGGCAAAGGCCTCCCCTGTACAGAGGGTATCTGAGCATAGTCCACCACGCGGTCCCACTGCGGATTGGCGGACTACACAATATATCTTCGAAATATTTTTTTTAAATTATTATTTCGAAAAAATTCAGGTTTCCACACGATGTTTTCCTTCACCGCTGAGCACGTGATGATTCAGCGCTTAAAATTAACAATTTCGTTGGTGCTGACACTGGGGATCGAGTTCAGGGGTTACGGGTATATTGAATTAAAGGCGAGTGCCCGGACACTGAGCTATCACGGCTCTACTGCGTGGGCTAGGTTTTGTCCGAAGCGGGTGATATCGCATAAACGAAAGATGAAAAACAGCGCGTTGTCAGAGCAAACACGATGGGAAACAAGAAACCCGTTTAATCAGCCCCCCAGCACAGCACAGGCTAAATAAACTTTCGTTGTGTTATAACGTTTCTCCGATCGCCGGGCCGGTTTGTGATAAAAAAAAAGAAGTAAAATGTAAGTATTATTGAATTTACGCGCGACAATGATCGATCGTACGTTTTCGGCGCGTAATTTATTATTTTTAAAAGGACACGGATATTATTAATTTTTCGTGTTGTTTATTTACCGCTTTATGCGCGCGAGTTCGGTCTCCCCGTTTCTTGTAACTGAGTGTACATTAAAAATTTTGTTGTCATATATTAATTACGAGTCTATACAGCCATAGTTTGAACCTTATCAGATATGTTGTTTTGTATGACCTTGACATCATATTGCTCTTACTTAAAAAGAAAGCCTATAAATGTCCCACTGCCGGGCAAAGCCCTCCTCTGTACAGAGGGCATCAGGGCGTAGTCCACCACACGACCCCACAGCGGATTGGCGGACTTCACATAGCTTCGAACTATTATTTTGTTATTTAATCGAAAATATGCTGGTTCACTCACGATGTTTTCCTTCGCCGCTGAGCACGTGATAAGTCAGCATTTAAAACTAACAATTTCATTGGTGCCGGCACCGGGGATTGAACTCTGGAGTGCCCGGACAGAGCTACCACGGCTCACTCTTATAAAATTATAGACCAAGTAAAAGTTTTCATATATAATCTACGTACATATATAATCTCTAATAAGGTACCAAAAATCCACTAGTGCAAATATTAGGCCTTGTTAAATACCCCCCTATATACAGCGTGTCGTTACCATCGCGACAATAAATGAACACATATAGGGGATAACTTTTTAACGTTGTATTAAACATTTAAATTCTTTAAACATCAATATTTACAGAGTTATTAAATTTGCCAAAACAAAGAATTTTAGAACACCCTTACCTATAAAAGCGTAACGTAAAGTTCATTTGTAAAGGTCACAAAGCATATGAATGGGTTGAATGAATTTAAAAGAGACAAAACATAGTGTTAGAAGGAGAGGCTTGTAATGCGACGCTATGGCGCGAGTTTTATAGGATGTTACAAATTTTGTTTATTTTTTACTTAATTAGTTTGTTTGAAAAATATTTTTTTTTAATTATGGATTTTGTTTAACGTTAATATTTTTTTATGATTATTGGCAAGTAGCGTTAGACGTGTGTTCATTTATTGTCGCGATGGTAACGACACACTGTATACCCCTTGTTTTGGCTGGACATCGACCCCGCATCAGTTTGTGCGATGGCCGCCGACAGGGTACACGTATTATGATGGTCCTTGTTAATGTTTCTTTAATGATATGGCTTCCTATACATGTTTAGGGTTCCGTACCCGAAGGGTGAAACGGGACCCTATGACTACGACTCCGCTGTCTCACCACTAGATGGAGTGACGACCTGTTCAAATGGGAAGTCGATGAACGCAGATGGTTCAGGATCGTGCTTTGTGGCAGTCTGTGGTGGAGGCCTTTGTTCAGGGGTGGACTGGAACAGGCTTAAATAATTATGGTGCGCACGCAGCAGCCTCGGCTGTTGCACGAATGGAAGGCTCGTCCGGGTAGGTACCACGACCTCACAGAAGACCGGCGTAAAGTGGAAGTATAATACTTTCGCGTTTCGTCTGGTGAGTGAGGTAGCCGGAGCCCTATATTCAAAAGGTTGTCAACGCATCTGCAACGCTCGGGTAGACACGAGATTCGAACTGAGACTAGGAAGGTTCAGGTCGAATTAATGATGATGATGACGATGAATGTTAAGAAAGAGACTAGATTCGAACCGAGGCTCGAAAGCTTGGGGTCTTGCCACTGAGGACAGCGCGGCTCGCCTCCATTCCGACCGATGACCTCCTATATAGGCTTGGGTGGTATCCGTTAACGGAACCGTGGCGACCTTGCCAGTTAACTGGTAAGTCCGGTCCAAGATCCGAATCCCCGAAACTGGATCAATTGGATAAGGGATGCCGAAAAAATATTGACATATCGATATTTTTTATGAAATACCAGCGGACCCGACAGACGTCCTGTATACACTACTTATATCCGACGATATAAAAATTGTTAATCTAAACCATTCTCGTGTCGGCCTCAAGTCACACAAAAAATTTCATTAAAATCGGTCCAGCCGTTTAGGAGTTTAGTGACAACACACGTACAGAAGAATTATAAATATATAAAGATATATTTATAGATATATATATATTTTTAGCCCATATAATTTGAGCCGATATATCGATATAAAATATTCAATATCAAATCGTATCAAAAACGATATTTTTTTCAATTTAGAATCCAGGACAGAGTCCCAACATGCAAATGATTAATACTTGGCATACGTGGTTTCTTGGACGAGAGGGCCTAAAAGGAAAATATCAATATATCGACCCCGATATTGATATTTTAAATATATCGATATATTTTTCCACTTTCGGCATCCCTAAATTGGACAGCTTCACGTGTCTATTTTAAGTAAATTTTTCCAAAGGCGCAAATGAAATTCTTAACTTAAGTGCTGACTTATCACGTGCTTCGCAGTGAAGGAAAACATCGTGAGGAAACCTGCACGTTTTCGAAATAATGTCAAAACAAAAATATTTCTGGACTATGGCCTAACGCCCTCTGTACAGAGAAGGCCTTTGCCCACGGGGTAACATGTATAGGGTGATAATAAACCTCACTTTTCCGCCTCCACAACTCCTCAGGTGTGGATGCGGAAATGACCCGCCACGCATGTACAGCGCATCTAGGGCATGCGTGGCAGGTCACCTAACGTAAGGTCAGCCGCCTCCTCGCTTGTGTGTACGCACTTATGTACGCACGTAAAAAGTTACCCTTCTTTAGCGTAAAAAAATAAAAAAAAAACTGTCCCCTGCACTCTTTCTTTGTGAAATCAACAATCAAACGCAATTTATAACGGTTTAAGTAAGTAAGTATCTGGAGGACCGAGCTTTGCTGTTTTCTTTTTTGTTTTGGTAAAACGTGTATTTTGGAAATTAAAAAAATATAAAAAAAATAAAGAAAGCAATGATCTGGTATAGAAAAAAAAGTAAAACAAATAAGTGTGTAAATGATCGTGACACGAACTTCTGTTTCGGGGCCCCCGATTACCGACCGAGCTACTATAAAATTTCATACTCCTTCCGTTCGCGAAATTTTCGTAAAAAAGGGGAAAAGTTTTTGCTTCGCGTATGTATATACATTACTAGCTGTGCCTGCGACTTCGTCCGCGTGGAATTTAAAATAAAAAAATTAAGAAATAAAAGTAGCCTAAGTTACTCCTTATTACATCAGCTTTCTGTCAGTGAAAGTCCCGTCCAAATCGGTCCAGCCGTTTCAGAGATTAGCAGGAGCAAACAGACGGACAGACAGACAAAAATTGTAAAAAATGTTATTTCTGTATATGTACCGTGTATACATCCATATGCATTTAGTAAAAAGTGGTTATTTTAATATTACAAACAGACACTCCAATTTTATTTATCTGTATGTATAGATATTTACTACGAGAGATTTACGAGATTATCAAAAGTAATTTGCGTACCGATCTCTAGGCCGTGTTTGCTAAGCGGAGAGGCCACACGCTACACTATTCACATAAGTTTTACGCAATCACGTAGTGTAATGCACGAACGAACACCGTAAGGTTCGTACAAATATCGTAAGAGTAGAAACGAGATAAGGTTATGTAACAAAATTACGTTTAGATATTCTAATGGTCACAATCTCACAAGTGCCGAACGCCTGGTTATCGGCACGTAGTCGATTGTAATACAAAATTAAACGCAATGAAATCGGCCAGTGACGAAATGGTCTAACTTAGCGAGCTTACGTTTTTTTTTTAATGTGAAAATTTGCAAGGCCAGCAGGCGGTTCACCCGATGTTAAGTGAATACCGCCGCCCATGGACATCTGCTACACACGAGGGCTGCAGATGCGTTGACAACCTTTTGAAAATTCGGCTCCGGCCACCTCACTCACCAGACGAAACGCGAAAGTGTTATACTTCCACTTTACGCCGGTCTTCTATGAGGTCGTGGTACTTACCCGTACGAGCCTGGCCATTCGTGCAACAGCCGAGGCTGCTGCGTGGCCCTAGCTACCACAGTTAACGAGTTACGTTGTCGAGTTTGTCCGTAAGCCTATTATTGTGTGGAGGGTTTTGTTGCAAGGCCCAACGACCATTGCAACCTATAAAGGTCCTACTAATACTGCAGTGGGGCCACGAAATAGCATCGGCTGTTGCACAAAATGGCTGCCACGTCCGCTGTGGTACCACGGCCACAAAGAAGACCGCCGTGATGTGGAGCATACCTTTTGCTTCGTACGAGCGACGTAGCCGGGTGGCACGATGTCGCACAAGCAACTGCAACACCCTCTGATGTTTTAAATGGAACATTGTTTCTACTTCGTGCTCAGGATATCGCCACAATTATGTTGACTGTTGCATCCAGGGTAGAGGCAACGCCTGATTAATTCTACTTAACAACCATTTCAAACTGACTCATTGTTCCAATTATGCTGTTAAAATTGTTAATTAATATTTCAGGGTCATAATTTAACACAACGTTATCGAGTTTCGTAAGGAAATACATATCGTCAATATACAAGCACTCTGACATTAAAAAAAGACTATCGCCCGGTTTCTGGAACACTGATCATCGTAGAAATTAACTAATCAGTTATCAAATGGCTTTTCAAATGTCATTTAAGTTGCCAAAACTCAACGGCGTATGCTTTTCGCACGATGTTTTTCTGGCGTAAGAGATGGAACACCATCCAATGATAAATACGCCAATGGGTTCAGCGTTGTAAATGTTTCATTAGGAAAAAAGATACTCTCCCACGAATCGCTTGGCCTATTTTATAATATCTTATTGTATCCAAGAACAGTTTTTATACAGGAATCCGCTTTGAAAATATTATCTCGGAGTTATGAAGATAAAAGCACAATTTTAACTAAACTATGACACTTTCTTACATTTGAGCGAACACTTGAGGCTATTGAATGTTATAATTTACTCAAATTTTGTCGCGTTTTATTTCACTGCAACAGTTGACACTTCATTGTTGCACGAATAGGCAGGTCCGTCCGTCCATACGTTATACCACTTTATTAAAATGTGGCAACGTATCTGCAACGGGTGTTGCAAATTACCGTGCCTGTTCGGTAGACGACCGACGCGAAATGGTACTTCGGAATTTCGTTCATGGCATGACCAACATATGAAAATAAAAACGCTGCACAGAACGTCGTAGTGAACTGTGACAGACTCGCGTTTCTGTGCACAGTTCTTACTGGTCATTTTCTCCTGGTACTTTTTCACGCCCGAAAAAGTTATAGACCTCCCTCCACTTTGCGCTTTTGGGTGCTGGGCAGTTTTACGGTGTTCTGACGGACGCCTGTCTTCCTTTAGGAAAAGGATTATTTTTAAATGTGTCTTTCAAATGTTAGCAAAGCATACATTTGCCAATTTCAACCTTTAAGACCTATCCTGGTCAAAGGGATAGAAGAAAGAGTTCAAAAGAAGTTCGGCGCTATTAGAACATGTTATTTAAAATATAGTACCCGGAGTACCTGGAGGTATTTTTTTTTGGTAAATCATGTATTTTGGAAATAAAATAAATAAAAAATGATCTGGTATAGAAAAAAAGTAAAAAAAATAAGTGTGTACGACCGTGATACGAACCGCGGCTGTCTGTTTTGGGGCCGCCCGATTACCGATGGAGCTATTATAACATTTTTTTTTGCGGCGAAATTTACCGTCATTTTCGAATTATATTTTTCATTCCCTGAAAAAAGGGATAAAAGGACATTTTCTAAAAATGAAACCTAGCTAGATCGATTTTTCGCCCCCGAATCTACGCACATACTAAATTTCATGAAAATCGCTGGAGCCAAACAAGAATTGCTGTTTAAATGATAAAATTAATAAAATCCATTTACGTTATGTTTTGGACTAAACCTCACTCAGATACATTTCTTTGACAACATTAAGAACGAGACACAGCTATCGAACCTCTCGCTCACGCGCCGGAGCGCTGATTTATCGCGTCCCGCGTCAAGAGCACCGACGCTACGCGACCAGAATGAGACTCCGCTAGGCCCCAAGGACGCCGTTAAATATTCTAGGGTCAGCCTTTCCGGGAGCATTATACTTGGACGGAGCGGCGGTCAATGTTTGACCCAACATTCGGTGGATGTCGAATGTTTGGGCCAAAGGACCTACGAGTAACACGAACGAGTAATTAGTTTTTTCATTGGCATTGAATCTTGGACTCCGAGAAACATGGGAACACTTCAAATAGAAAGCGAAAAATGAGAAATTTTAAAGTCGGTTTTGTTTTTTCTATATATAAATGTTTAATTGTATAAGTATCATGCGGGAGAACCCGTGGGAAACAACTATTGCAATATATTGGGCCAACGTTCATTTCCAACACCCAACAACGAGCGACGACAATTGATTTCATTGTACAAGAACCCCGGGAAAGCTTTAGCAAGGACCACGCAGTGGCAAGACTTGGATCCAACGATTGAACCAACAAACAGTAGCAAACTATGGACGCATTTCCTGGAACACAATGATTTGCATACAAAGATATTCATAGTATTATTCTGTATTTGTAGCCCGTGTGGTAAACAAATACATGCTATCGCACTCAGAAATGTCAATTATCTCTAAGTCGCGCTAACTTTATTTACGTGTCATATGGAGTATTCACTACTAGTACCTACTATATAGTACTTAACTATGAAATTAGCAATTGGTCAGATTTAATGTCGGTTAAATGGTAATTGGGGTCTTTGCGTATACGCTCGAAGTGCGCCAAATGTAATTGATTTCGCTTAGTATTGCGTTTTACAAGTAAGTACCTAATATTAGTATGGACAAATCAGTAAAAAAAATTCACACATATTTTTTAATGACCGTTTAATGTAAAATCTTAGAAAGCATTTTTTATTGTGATAATAATATACTATCTTACCATTTCTCGACCATGATAACAAGATAATAACAGCGATATTAAATATTTTTATTTACAGACTAGCTGACCTGGTAAACGTTGTTTTGCCATATATACAAGTTATTTCTAGGGAATTTGTGAATCTTAACACATAGAAAAGAATTCGGAACGTACGCATAAAATATTTGACAGGTAGGAACAGTTTGGATGGGAAAATAAAATTATTGCTATTCGATTTTCCATGTAATTTTCCCATAACTTTTCATCGTTTAAACCTTCCCTGGACTGCCACAAATATTTCAAAACCAAAATTAGCCAAATCGATCCAGCCTTTCTGGACTTTTAGCGATACTAACGAACAGCAATCCATTTTTATTTATAAGAAGATACTAGTTTTTCGCCCGCGGCTTTGCTCGCGTTGAAGCCCTTAAATAAATGTCTTTCTTTAACCTTTCAACCCTTTAAATTTTTTTTTTCAATAAAAAAATAGCCTATGTCCTTTCTCGCGCACTAAACTATCTGTGTACCAAATTTCATTTAAATCGGTTCAGTATGGATAAAGAGATAAGATAAATAATTACGTCGCAGTGAAGGATTGCAGATGCTTTACCAAAGGAGTCTGCCCCGTTTACCTTACTCAACAGGAGTGCAAATGTATGACACTTACAGTACGCGTTGGTAGGCACGGACAAAAAATATCGATATTTTTTATCGCGATATATCGATATTCGACATTTTAGACTATCGAATTCGTGCCTATTTCGATATATTTTAACGCAAATCTGGTCTAGTATTTAATGTTACTAGATACTCTTTGCATGCTTCTCGCGCATAGTTAATTTTAAAAAATCTTTTAACTATTTGCTTCATGTCTATTCTTTTGTACGAATTTTGAATGGTTTGTAAAATATCTATGCATAATCATGCGAAAACTGACTATACATCGATATCTTTCACTCGATAATTATCGATACTTTTTCAAAACGTCGTGACAATAAATATAGGATAGGGATAGGATAGGGACACTACACGCGCCCCTAGTTATCTTGCAACACGGCTGCACTGACACGAAAGGATAATATCATTCCTTCGAAGCGTGTGCAATAAATACCAGGATAACATAAATACAACAGGTCATCTTGACTGTTCTCCCCGCTCTTAGGCAATGAATAACACAGTAGACTATTACACGCTAGCAATGACAATCCGTCCGAAGTCCCCCCATTTTCAACCGACGTCGAAAAGGAGGAAGTTCTAAACTCGGTTGTATGTTTTACTTTATGTTTGTTACCTCAGAATTCAGTAATTTATTAGGTGATTTCAAAAATTATTTTTGCGTTGGGTTCGGCTTAGCTCCCATCTGTTGGACCTCGGTCTAGGTACATCAGGCAAGTCCTCGTATTGTATTGAAGTCTTTTCGTTTTTTGTTATTAAAAATTTACGTGTGTTAATGTACACATGCACACATGGGGCTATCAAGCTCGATAAAGCTTTATGCAGTCTACGGACTGAAGGAGAACACGTCAATAAAACGGGTCATCGTTTTAAAAAGGCAGACGTCATCAAGCCGTGACGGCTCAGTGTCTGGGTACTCGTTTTGATACAATATGCTCGAGCAACCTGGGTTCAAATCCAGGTGCAAGCAACAATGAAATTGTCAACTTTAAGTGCTGAATCACGCGCCCAGCGGTGAAGGAAAACATCGCGACGAAAACTGCATATTTTCGAAATAAAAAAAAAACTTAAAAATTTCGAAGATAATAATCTCCCAGTACATAAATTCTATACAGAGGCGACCTTTTCCCAGCGGTGGGACTTTTATATGCTGTTACTTTACTTTTACATCAAGAAGCCCACTGCTCCACCACATAAGCATCCTAGTGTGAACATTATTGCCGCGGCTCAAGTACCAGGAGAACACAACTCGTTTTAAAAAATCCATCGCGTCCGAGCGATGCAGATCGCCTATTAATCGGGCCTCGTAATTTTCACGACGAAACCCACAGAAAACGTGATCGGCACGCGCCGATGTTATCCTGGTAGGGCTTACGAGGAAAACAGATAAATTATTGTCTATATATAAAATATTAACGTGAAATACATCTTGAAAGACTTCTTAGAGTATGAAATTTAGGTGGTCAGTTTATGTAAGCGATACGTGTAAGAAATACATTAAATTAAATCAAATAAACTAATCATTGCTTACGTTCATACTATTGTGTGTAGAGGAAAGAAAGAAAGAATATCTCAATATACAAAATTTAACATAACTATTGTTTACTAATTTTGGCAACTTTTTAGGGTTCCGTACCCAAAGGGTAAAACGGGATCTTTTTACTAAGACTCCGCTGTCTGTTTGTCCGTCTGTCACCAGGGTGTATCTCATAAACCGTGATAGTTACAGCTTCACAAAATTTCACAGTTATGTATTTCTGTTGGCGCTATAACAACAAATACTAAAAAAAGTACCTAAAAAAACAGAATAAAAAAAAATATTTAGTTTAAGTATAAGGGGGACATATATACTTATGACCTTCCGTCACAACATACGCGAGGTCGTTGCTAGGCAACCTATAGGTTACCAATTAGTTTATTATAGACAATGGAACGGAACCCTTCGTGCGCGAGTTCTACTCGCACTTGGCCGGTTTTCTCTTACTTTACCAAAAATCGTCATTCTCATTGAAATTCTAATAAATTCTATGGTAAACTAGGTATACTTCGTCTACGAATTTTTAAGGTGTTACTCTTAACGATGACCAGTCGTTGAGCACAGTCGTTCGCGTATCCCAATTAACCCAGGTTCAAATCCACACAGCGGCGAAAAACTTTTCGTCCGTTTTTTCTACAAATTTTAAACTGGACCACTAATTACTGGACACGATGAAGGACTCGCGATAGGTCCGGAACTACGACCAGTCTCAGACCTATCTGAGGTCCAAACTATGACCAGTTTCAGACCTATCAGAGGTCCTTCTTGTTGCGACGCACATACACCGACTTTAGTTAAATGGGCACCAGTATTAAGAAAACACCTACCCACTTACCTATCATAATTTTTCTGTAATCTTATGTCAGAGGTTTGCTGGTAGAGAACTCTTCTTAGGGATAAGTTAGGCTTTTTACGTTTTTTTAAACTTAACTTTGTTTTCGATTTTATGTTGTGTACAACAAAGAATTTAACAAGAAAACGAAATATCGATTCAAACTTACTTCAAGAACGCGAAAGAAATATCGATTCAAAGTGTCATTCATATCATAGCAAATTCTAGATTTTCTTACTTCAAGAATGCGATATTTATAGACGCATATAGCATTTAGAACAGGTGGCAATGTCAGAGTCGTATCATAAAAAAAAAAAGCAAAACAAATCGATAACAACAAACGCTATCTCGCCGAGCGGGTCGGTCGAAATCGATACCGGTCCTGTCGCTCTAGAATCGGTGTTGAGTCATAAGGCGCCGTAGAAAAAAAAAGGCATTATTACGAAAGCGCTCGCTCGCCGGTTTTAATTGGATCTGTGACATTTGAAAATCGTTCGGCCTCGAGAGGGGCGCGGCTCTATTTCGGCGGGACCAAGCATCGGACCGTGCCCAGTTTCCGAGGGCCGTACCAGTTTTCGAAGGCCGTACCATTTTCTATGTCCGTAACAGTTTTCGAGGGCTGTAACAGTTTTCGGCGGTCCGAACCTCAGCTTTTGGATTCGCGGAAGGCGAAGGGAATGTCCACCGCTAACGGTGATCAATGTCAAGGTCAAAGTAACAATTTCTTCATTCAATATAGGATCATTTAAGACCTGTCTAGAGAAGAAACGACAAGAATCACTGCGGTCACGTTCTCTCGTTGCTTTTAAAAAAAAATAACATATAATACCAATTTATTGAGTAATCAAAAATAGCCGTGTTCATCTCTACAGATAAAACTGGAGAGTCCGTTTGTAGTATTAAAATAACCGCTTTTTACTACATGCAAATGTATGTGTACACGGTATTTATACCAAAAAACATTCTTGACAATTTTTGCAGCCGGAGCAAACAGACAGACAAGTCTGTTTGCTCCGGCTAATTTCTGTAACGGCCGGACCGATTTCGACGGGACGTTCACTGGCAGATAGCTGATGTAATAAGGAGTAACTTAGGGTATTTTAACTATAGAAATTAATTAAAACGAATTGATTTAAAACAAATTTATAATATTAATTAAATTTATAATTTAATAGAAAGGCTGGCAACACATTTGCAAGCCATCCGGTGTTGCAAACGGCTCATAAGCGGGGGTGATCATTTTCCTTCAAATGAGCCTCGATAAAATTTAAAAAAATAATAAAACTTAGGCCGGGCGCTAGCGCTGCGTTCGGCGGTGAGTCACACGTCATTACGACAGAATGTGGAACCCGCTTTGCGGGGGGCACATTTTGGGGTTCCGCAACGCAGCGAGAAGAACCATTGGGTCGTAGAATCATTTTGACAACTGTTACGGCGCCTGTCGCGCCACCCGTGGTAGGATCGAAGAAGCCATCTGCCGTTACTATAATCTGTGTATCACGTCATATCCGACCAAACATCGGCACCGCGTATGACGTGATACCGGACCAATCACATTAAAGTACTTAATTTGTAACGTTTTCTTTAGAACTTGCAATTCTTACACCAGTGAAAACCTACGAGTTGTTTGGAATTTTAACACCTGAATCTTCAACAACAACCAAAAACCACGGAGAGCAGCTAATGATACAACGGCCTTGTATATGCGAGCTGACTGTGGTAAGGCCATGCAATATTCTTCGCTGTTGCACGAGCGTGCAGGTCCGTCCGGTTAAGTAGAACGACCTCACAGAAGATCGGCGCGAAGTGGACCGGCAATTACGGTGGTAGGGCCACGCAGCAGCCTCGGCTGTTGCACGAATGGGCAGGCCCGTCAGGGTAAGTACCACGACCTCACAGAAGACCAGCGTAAAGTGGAAGTATGACAAATACTTTCGCGTTTCGTCTGGTGAGTGAGGTAGCCGGAGCCCAATTTTCAAAAGGTTGTCAACGCATCTGTAACCCTCAGGTGTGGCAGATGTCCATGGGCGGCGGTATTCACTTAACATCAGGTGAACCGTCTGCTCGTTTGAAAACTTTTCGCATAAAAAAAAAGTGGAAGTGTTAAACTACTGCGTTACGTCCGATGAGTGAGGTAGTCGAGGGAGGCTTAATTAAAAGGCGACGCATCAGCAACCCTACGGGTGTTGCAAATATCTAAGGTGAAACTTTTTAATGAACGTTAATATTCACAAAACACAATGATAGTATAAATACACAGCGCGCGAAACCCAGCTGTTTATATAATTCAGCGTTCGCAACACTATCTATCGCTTTGATTATTGAGTGTATGCCTCTCTCTCTCTCTCTAAACCATATCTTCCATCTCTCTCGCGTAACGAAATGTGACGTGTACTTGAAACACCACTCGCCAATCATCGAATCGCCTCCTTAATGTAAAAAATAACATCCTATGTATGTCCCACAGCTGGTCAAAGGACTCCTCTGTACAGAGGGTACGACCCAACCCCGGACCCTAAATGAGCACGTGCCCAAGCCGCGAGTCGAAGCCGAACTCGGAGGTGAATACCCCCCCTCCCCTCCTCCACTGCTCCCCCGCTCCTCACTCCCCACCCCTCCTTATCGACTCATTTAGGGGGGAATGAACACCCGAAATAAACATTTGCCAACCGGACCGGAGGCGGGTTCAGGAAACTGGTTGCGCGCAAACTCGACGATATCTCGACGTGTGTGCCTCCGAACAGCGAGAAATATTTAAAAAAAAACCGGCCAAGTGCGACGGAATCGCGCACGAAGTGTTCCGTACACATTATCTATGAAAAGGGCAACAAAAAAATCATGCCTGTTGTATGGGCCTTAAAATTTTTATTCTGATCTTTAGTATTTGTTATTATAGCGGCAACAGAAATACGTCATCTGAGAAAATTTCAACAGTCTTACTAACACGGTTCATTAGATACAGCCTGGTGACAGACGCACAGACAGACAGTCAGACAGACAAACGGAGGAGTCTTAGTAATAGGGTCCCGTTTTACCCTTTGAGTGCGGAACCTTAAAAACTACGCCAAATGTCACACTCATAATACATTTTCTATTTAAGAAAGAATAATAAACATATAATTCGGAATATATTTTTATCGAAACAACGTTATCTAGTCTTAACGATTCGCACCGTAAAAACTCTTTTTCCTGTTCTCATCATACCACTATTAATCTAAACAATATTATATTATATATATAATTAATAATATAATACAATTAATATAATATTATAATATCTTATCTTTTAAACGAGCAATTCTTGTATATATATACATATATATATATATATATATATATATATATCGGAATCTCGGAAACGGCTCCAGCGATTTTCATGAAATTTAGTATATGCATACATTCGGGGGCGAAAAATCGATCGAGCTAGGTTTCATTTTTAGAAAATGTCTTTTTATCCCTGTTTTCAAGGAATGAAAAATATAATTCGAATATGACGCTAAATTTCGCCGCAAGAGAAAATGTCATAATAGCTCGGTCGGTAATCGAGCGGCCCCAAAACAGACGGCCGTGGTTCGCGTCACGATCATTTACACATTTATTTTTTTTACTTTTTTTTCGATTCCAGATCATTGCTTTCTTTATTTTAAATTTTTGTCGATTTGTTATTTTGTTATTTTTTTCCCTTTTTTTAAAAGTTCTTTCTTTTGTGAAAAACATCAGTTCATATTTTCTTATTATTACGTCGGTAAGATCGAAAAATATTATGTATATTTCATTACTCAGTAATTTGTATCTAAATTTAATTTCCAAAATACACGATTTACCAAAAAAAAAGCCACACCGAGCAAAGGTCGGTCTTCCTTGTACTATTATATTAATTGTATTATATTAATTGTATAATTAATTAATATTATTATAAATATAATTTTTAACAAAAAAAACCGACTTCAATAAGAAAATTAAACACATTGTTAATACCTATAACATTCAATGATGGCCCTCGATTTCTCTGGGATGCCATCATCAGATCCGGGTTTCCTTATCATGGTACCACCCTTGGGATATCTCATTTCCGACAAAAAAAGAATCATCAAAATCGGTTCATAAGCGACGAAGTTATCCGCGAACAGACATGAAAAAAATAAAAATATATACGGTCGAATTGAGAAACCTCCTCCTTTTTTGAAGTCGGTTAAAAAGAGTTACAACTTTTGGTGATTAAAATTAATACCCGCTGCTGAATTTTGCTACTGTAATACGCGTCAAACTGTCAGATAGCGTCACTACCACCTCGACAGTTGGTAGTCCACGACTGTGCGTTTTTCACGTAACTCTGCCACGCAAAATCAAGTTGTGGCTTCAGCTGTCTTCAGACAGAAGTGAAAACATAATACAATAAAATTATATGTATTTATTTTTCTACATATTAGGCATCATAGGCACTCCGAACGATAATAACAGTATTTATATCATATCCATAACTACAAATATATATTTGCCTTTTTTAAAAATAGCATAGAAAGCGTTCGGTGACGATGACGCGAGTTTCACGAGTTTTATTCAGCGCTCAAAGAACGCGCCTAAAGAACTTTTCACATCAATAATAAAAATAAAATAAATATAATTAAAACGGTTCCCTTTCTCGTTCAACTCCCAACCAGTGAAGCAGGAAACGCACGATAGACATTATAAAGTTTAGCAAAGCACGTCGCACGAAACGGCCTTGCGCGCCGAGCAAACAGACAGACGTGAGCCAATTAAATATATATAATTGAGAGAGGAAAAAAATATATTTTACGCAACGCGCTTACGAATTGTCGCAAAGCGAAAATGAACGCAATTCCAATTGAACTACGCGCGTACGCTGCGACGCAGTAAATTAATGTTATTTACGATATTACAGTACATTCATGACGAATCTTCTAGTGACAAATATGTTGTTTTATGGAAAAGGGAGAATATTAAACAAGCAAATCATTGATACGAAGATTCTAAGCCACGTGATGGAATCATTTGTGAGTAAAGTAAAAAGTAGAATAACTAAAAACCTCTATATGTCCAACCTGGGCAAAGGCCTCCTTTGTACGGAAGGTTTAGGGTGTAGTAGACGCGACTTGACTGCGAATGGGCAGACTTTTTTTATTTAAAAATTTATTGTTTACACCTCAACTTAAGGCTAAACAAAAGGCAAACTTAATGGTAACAAAATAAGCATTCTCTTCCAAAATTTGAGGCAGACGCAAAACAACATACGCAAAATAAATAAAAAAAAAACAAAAAAGGTACATATCTAAGAAATATTCTTTTTTTTTTTTTTCTATTATTCGATTGCCTTCATCGCTGCGCACGTGACAAGTGGTTTGAACTCAGGTCAGTCGAGTATACTAAATTAAATACGAGTGCCCGGACACTTAAGTATTGTGGCTTGTACGTCATCATCCGTAAGCTATAAAAATAATCAACAGACTAGAAAGAAATAAAAGTTGTATCAAATATTCGATATCTATTAAGACCACTAGACAACCACTAAAACTAATATGACCAATATCTAATGTGATCATGAAGTTTTTCCCATAGTAAGTACGGTTCAGCCTAAGAGTGCGGTACGGAACTTCCCGCGACATGTGAATTATGTCTATTAAATCCAAAAAGGGTAATTTTTTTTGTAAAAAATGCTATTATTTAGCTAACTAACTTGCTTGGTATATGTCTGAACCTAAACATTTATTTTCTATATCCACTCATTTCAGGTTGTTACAAACAAACTTTATTCCCCTTCACAATATCAAGTACAGACGCGTCGAAAACGTTTAGACAAAATAAATAATTATAATAACAACTTATTCCTTTCGCAGGTGCGCTGACGAAGAGATGAGCGAGCATTGACGACAAGCAGGAAACAAAATGGCGTGTCCAATGTTTCGGGACACATTGACAATACTAGTGTTTGTGAGCGCGATTGTACACGGCATTTGCGACGGCGAGGTGTACGACGCGGAGCCGTCGCTGAGCGGCGAAAGAACCGCCAACGAGACCGGTTCTGGGGTGCTCGATGAGCTCAGCATTGCGCTGGACACGTCCGAAGGTCAGACTCAGAGTTTAGGAGAACGTGGAGCGAACGGTGACCTTGACGGCGTGAAGGTCGCGACCTTTGGTACGGGCGAAGCGACCGCTATTCCGCAGGAGGCACCAGACGCCCTTGGCTCGAAGGACCAGGAGCGCGCAACGAGCTCCGACTACGAGTACAGTCGACCCGAAGAGGGTTCCGAGGACGGGGCCGTCAGCGCGCCGACGGAGGCGACTGTACCCGAGGGCGGTGACGTCACCGACGGCGCGCCATTGTCCACCGTGGACAATAATGTTTACAGAGCGGACGCCGACGGGGACAGATCTAGGCTCGCCGAGAGCGACGCCGACGGTGCGCCGGTGAGTGGGAAACAATGCTTGTTTGGATAGGACACTTCCCGCGCGCCAGGCGACCTTTAGAAATCGCCTGACAGGTGCTTGTGTGAACGCTATAGCTTTTCCCCGCGGCTTTGTAACACATTTTCCGACTTTGATTACAGCTATATGTCCTTTCGGTGGTAGGGCCACGCAGCAGCCTCGGCTGTTGCACGAATGGGAAGGCTCGTTCGGGTAACTACCATGATCTCACAGAAGACCGGCGTAAAGTGGAAGTATAACACTTTCGCGTTTCGTCTGGTGAGTGAGGTGGCCGGGGCCCTATTTTCAAAAGATTGTAAACGCATCTGGAACCCTCGGGTGTAGTAGACGTCCATGGGCGGCTTTATTCACTTAAAATCACGAGAACCATCTGCTCGCTTGGCAACTTCCCACATAAAAAAAAAATTGTCCATCTATCTACAAAAATTCGAAATTTAAAATTTCATCCCGAGTGCAGGGACTACTAAAAATAAAATTGTAAGAGCATAGGCGACATCTCTCGTTACTAAAGTTCATTGTTGTATGCTTTTTGTAAGGTGCATGCTGTTAATACGTAATAGATGGCGCCAAGCGTTGCTAAAAATTCAATAAAAAAATGGATGTCAAAATTAGCGCGGTGAGGTCATCGGCCGCTTAGCTTAGTTGGCGCAGATTAGACTCCCGTAGCGCGGAAAGTTTTTGCCCATTTATCTAAAAAAAACATCACAATTATAGCACTGATATCTAGTTACTATAGTATTTCTTCTATTTGTCAACAATCTCATTATCCACCGCGCGATTTCTGGAATGCATCGGCGCATTGCTAATTGTTTGATTGCGTCAGGAATGTAGAGTTTATGCGCACGCCGTTTTCTGTTACACAACTGTCTGTTTGTCGTCAAACAAATCTCTATGGTGGCCTGGTGAATAGGAAGCCAGACATAATTGCGCTCTTAGTCGCAAGTTCAAATCCAGCCACACATAAGCGCCACTGTAACGTGTAGCAATCACTTTGCACTTATCACCGAATCCGCTGAGCTGCAGACGCGACAGGTGATAAGCCTGTCGCGGTACACCGGATACGATTATAGGGGACGGGTATCCGAACTCAGGACTTAAACGCTAACAAACGCAGCGGCTTTTAAAATTATTTCACCGCGGTACGTTCAACGTCTATGACCGTTGCTTCATCACACTTATAGGACACATCGCGTTATATCAGTCCAAATCACACTCTGTTTCGCTACCACTACTGCATTAATGCCCGGTTCCCATATTCAACGAACGGCCGTTAGTTACATAGCTTCGTAACTTTCATAACGATTTGTAGATTAAAGGAACGCTAGTAACTCACTTTCCGTAGGTAATGCAACGGCACGTAAGGAAAACGCCTCGTTTTGTTAATATAGGAACCGGGCGTACACGCCGTTTTTCTACAAATCATTATCAAAGTTACGAAGCTGTGTAAAAAACGGACGTTCGTTGAATATAGGAACCGGTCATTAGTTGGTGTACAGTTGGATACGGCGTTGTTATTAGTCTTCGTCACATTTTTGCGCTGATCGATATGAATTTAAAGCGACGATCCATTGGCTAAACAGACGGAGCTAGCGTCAATAAAATTGTGTTGTATATCAAACGGGCTTCATCAAGGCGAGGAGATGAATTTAGATATTCTCGTAATAGAAGACCCACGGCTTTTAAAGTTGTGCCAACACTTGCGGAGAAATGCCACGGCTTTTAAAGCTGTGCCAACACTTGCGGAGAAATGCCACGGCCTTGGGGAACACCACCTCTTTTGCCGCGCATCAAGTGAAACCGCGTATCGAATATTGAAAAACAACGCCTCAACTGGGGTAGGGCCGCGCAACAGTCGTCGCTGTTGCACGAATGGGCAGGTCCGGCCGGGTGAGTACCACGACCACACAGATAACCGGCGTGAAGTGGAAGTGTTATACTACTGCGAGGCCCACTTCATTGAAAGGTGACAATGCATCTGCAAACCTACGGCCGTTGCAAATGTTAATGGGTTATCACTTAAAATTAGTTGAACCACCCCTATATATAGAAAAACGCCCCGTTTCCGAATTCTTCTTACACAGACGAAGATTTGATAGCAATCGATCTGTACCCTGTTCTTGATCATTTAAACGATCCAAGCCGCCGTTACAACTTAGACGCTCACGACGAAACGCTCGCGCCGAGTCCACTTAGTTGGGAATTGTAATCGGCTTACGCAATCGTCGCGTTTGATTGTGAACGCAAAAGTAACTTAGGGCGGTGCGTGAGCCGAGGGTCGGCCGTCGACGGAATCCAGGCAGCGGTACTGTGTTAGGTGCGACAGCAAACGGTAACTGTTGGTCTGTTGCGAACTTGCGGGCTTTATATGTGTGTATACGACGACGCCAATGTGTGGAGTTAGTACTGTTGATGCTCACGTAGGCTAGAATAAGACTATTGTTTACCTGTATGTTATATTGTAAACTGATATTTTTGAAAAAGAGCAACTCTTGAGTTTCTTGCCGGTCCCTTCTCAACAGAAACTGCTTTCCGAACCGTTGGTACCTTACGAACCTATGTATACAATCTAATCTATATATCTAATTTTTTGATTCATAAGAAGGCGAGTATCTATTTGATTTGATAGTCATTGCCAAGGGAGATTAGATTATAATGTAGGAAAACTTTTAATGTTTTAGCTCCCCCTTCCTCCTCATCGTCTTCTTGTAAAAAAGGAAATAAGACAGCCGTGAAGTAGGGATGCCGAAATTGAAGCAATATATCGATCGATATATCGATGTTTTCTCACCTGGGACCTATCCCAGATACCCCGTTGTCCAAAAAAAAAAGGTATGTCAAGTATTAAATATTTGACACTTTGGTCTCTATTCCGGATTCGGATTTGAAAAGATATCGTTTTTGATACGATTTTCGATATTGAATATTTTGAATCGACATATCGGATCCAAATATGTCGGGTGAATACCGTAATATAAAATCAAAAATATCGATATATCGATATTTTTAGACATCCCTATGAATCCCTCAAAATTTGTGAAATTTTCGCCGTCTATCGAATATTCCATGTCGAATTTTCTGAAAATTGACAACTCATCGTCGTGCCCAATTCTGATTTAAACAAATCAAAAGTGATACTTTAAGAGGCTTTTAAGATGAATTAGTGAGGATTTCATATATGTTACTGAAGAAATGGACACTAAGCAAGCGGTTAACGTGATGATAAGGACCGCCGTCAAAGGAGACGTGCATCACCGTTGTTGCGAACATGCCGCCATCACTATTGCCACCTAATAAGTGTGTGGGCTTCCGGTTACCTCACTAACCAGCTCACATGAAATCATAAGAAAATATTTTGGCGATAAGACTTATGAAAATACAGAAGATATATGCCCGGTTCCTATATTCAACGAACGGCCGTTAGTTACATAGCTTCGTAACTTTCATAGCGACTTGTAGTAGCACAAAAGTTTCATGATTCAGCCTTGTTCCTATTAATAGGCGGCTAACGAATCAACGTATTTGCTTTATCGACGACTCGTCCACGTTTAGACGGAGAACCCAGCGGCACCGCTGACCACCAGAGCAGAGGAACCCGAGGAGTTGCTTCCGGAGGTGGAGGAGGAACAGCCCGGAGCTGGACAGCGGTCGCCGAAGACCGATAGCGGTGAGTGATGCATGCCTTTTTTAATGTAAGAAGCGACCTGGCGGTTTACATGATGTTAAGTGATATCCACCGCCCATGGACATTTGCAACACCCGTAAAGTAGGCCTCGGTTACCTCACTCGCCAGACGAAACGGAGAAGTATAACACTTCCACTTCACGCCGGTCTTCTGTGAGGTAGTGCTACTTGCCCGGACGGACCTGCCCATTCGTGCAACAGCGAAGACTGCACACGTGTGTCAATATAATAAATGTATCTTTCAAATTAAGTCCGTCTGAAATTGCATTCGGATACGTTCAGCCGACTTGGGGGTGCAACGGTAACGACAACGGTAACGGTTCGACTTGCAACTTCACTCGCCTTTTTTTCCCTCAAAATAAAATTACTAATTTCACTGTTAAGTTTCAATCAAAAGTATCTTTATCTATCGTATAAACCAGTACAAGTAGCCAGTATTTAAGCGCATAAGATAGTGAAAGATTTTTTTTCAGAACAAATAAATTTTTACCAACGAGGTTCCTAAGAAATATTCTCCGTGTTACGGGAACTTCCACAAACACTTCTAGCCCCCTCTACAAACCCCGGAGTCAGCATAATTACATGCTGACGGTGTGTCTGAATCGAACCCACGACCCACGCCGCCGAAGCCAACAGTTTAACAGCTGCTCCACCGTGTCATGACCACAAACACACAGACACGTTACGCCATTCGTTGCCAAATTCAATAGACTATCATTGTTATGCATAAACCACGCGTATAAACAAACAAACACTGTTTCACCAAACAAATCTGTCATCGATCACGGACTATCTGTTAGACCTATACAATAACAAAAACGGAAACTCACAACCATATAAAAAAAGTTTGCAAACTCCAAGTTTTTTTTTTATTAAAAGTATGGTGCATCATACCACACTTTTAATTTTAAAAAAAGTCGTACCATTGACTTACTTGCATTATTTAACCAATTTAATAAAAGCGTAAATACTGAACTTTAAAAACGTAAAAAAAACATTCTATTAATAAACTACAGGTTTGGGTTGTTACTCTTAAAAAAAATCCGGACGTCCACGTAAAATTTTTTTCAAGCAGTTTTCTTTTTAAATAGCAAAAAATGTTCTTTACGGAATAAAAGATAGATTATGTAGACTGTTTTCTTGAAATATATGTACTCATAAATATTATTTTATTAATACCAATTTTATTACATTTTTTTTATTTCTAAAATGCCTATCAACAACTGTTTATATTAACACTATATCTTAATAATAAAAAAAGAAAAGAAACAATTAGTATATGTGCATAAGTGTAACAATAACTTAAAAGATAAGCACAGCAAGTACAGTTAAACATCAGTACCTGGAGTACCTTTTTTTGGAAATCATTTATTTTGGAAATGAAGGAAATAAAAAATAAAGAAAAAAAGTAAAAAAAATAAGTGTGTAAATGATCATGATAGGAACCGCGGCAGTCTGTTTTGGGGCCGCCCGATTACCGACCAAGCTATTGTAACATTTTTTTTGCGGCGAAATTTCCCATCATATTCGAATGATATTTTTCACTCCCTGAAAACAGGAATAAAAGGACATTTTCTAAAAATGAAACCAAGCTAGATCGATTTTTCGCCCCCGAATCTACGCACATACTATATTTCATGAAAATCGCTGAAGCCGTTTCCGAGATTTCGATTATATATATTGGTAGCTATACTTTATTTTATCGAGCTAAGAAGGTAGAAATATAAATACTTTTACCAAATCACTGTAGTTTTACTTTGCACAACAATAACACTGGTACAATTACTTATCACTTTAATATCACTAATGAAACACCACTCTAGATACCGATTGGGCAGCATTATCGCGTATACTTCTTGATGACAGCCAGAGAAAAACAGAACTCAAAATAAATAGCTGTAAAATAAATTAAATTAAATTATGGCTTGCTCGGTATGTTTAATACATAAGGTAAATGTACATTAAATCGGTTGCTGTAGAGGCACAACACAGAATTGCTTGACTTTGACGTGTCGAGAGTACAACCTAACAGCTTCGCGGCATGAGGCGTGCAACATAACAGTGCCAAATACGAAATACGCAAAGCTTGAAACGACACAAAGGCTATATCGAAATTATTACTTCGAAAATCCTCCATTAAATTTCGAAAAGAAACTCGCGGGAGGGACGCGAGTGAGAGCCACCAAATTGTCAAGGAGAAACCCACGCGGGTTGTGTTTGTAGACACTTTTGGCATAATCAACGTCTTTCTTCGAATCCGCTCATAAATTGCGTAGCAACCGGAGGTTTAGTTTATGCAGGCGGGTACTGGTCGCGTATTCAATTCCCGCATGCTATGGAGGTGTCGTCTGCATGGCGTACATGCAACTCTTCCTGGTCTTGACTCCGATATAACACACGACAAATATTAACTAATCACGTCACAAGACAGATAAGAAAGGAAGGAAATCTCGAATGGAAATGTTTTTCGCGACTATAACACACACACACACACACTCATATGGGTTTTACACAGTAATCCTCACATTTTATGTACCAGGTTGACATTAATCAAAGTAATATAATTAGAACGAGAGGGACTATATCACCCGTCCCGTTTCGCGGCCGACGGGAAGCAGTCGGCGACGGACAAGAGGAACAACGACGCGAGAACGCGCTCCGTACCCATCGCCAGTCTTATGTACTAGGTTGACATAAACGTGTCAAACTGATATAATCAGAACGAGAGGGACTATATCACCCGTCTCATTTCGCAGCCGACGGGAAGCAGTCGGCGACGGACAAGAGGAACAACGACGCGAGAGCGCGCTCCGCACCCATCGCCAGCAAGAGCTCCACGTTGAGGTCATGGCTGGAGGACCCGTGGCTCCGACCGCCCGCTGGTCTCCTGGTACCCCTGAGGCCGATGGCCTTGAGGCGGGCCCTCGATGTGTGGAACGACATGATGGCGGCGGGCGCTTTGGAGATGAAGGACATCGTCATCGTCGGGTTCGACGCGAACGGTGAGTTGATGACGTCACAACTTGACCACTATACACCTGTTTAGACCAAAACTATCTAACCGTCCGTCACTACACTTAGTTTAGTTCGATGACGGCGTACAGTGATGATTGTCCCGATTGCTCATTAAGCTATTGGTTTATCAAAAAAACTCAAATTCTATCATATACCCGATAAAATAGTAACTACGACGTTCAAGTACTGAATAAGTTAAGATTTAACAGGTGGTTATTTTTTTAATTAAAATTTTGTCCAATCTTAGAGGGGAAAAGTTTTCATTAAAAAAATTCCAGCTTTAAATCTAAAAATTCAAATTTCACTGACGCTCTCTCTTCCGAGTCTTTGTTGCGTGATCAGAAAAAAAATCGAGTATACGGACTTTCGTGTTTAATAATATAAACGCGAAAGTCCGTATACATCCTACGTCCAAGGTTATTAAAAAAAGCAAAACTACAGGTCTAAAATCTGGATCCATATTCCTGAAATCCGTTATCTAAGATCGTTCAAGGAGGATCTCGCAGACGCTGACAATTCTAACCATAAATCGTACCTTCTGAATACTGCAACACAGTGTCTGACGAGGTAGCTAGGAGAAGCGACTATAATGCGATTGACTTCAACACAGTGTCTAATTAACGAGGTAGCTAAGAGAGGTGACTAAAACGCGATTGGCTTCAACACAGTGTCCTACCTGACGAGGTAGCTAGGAGAAGCGACTGTAACGCGATTGGCTTCAACACAATGTCTAACTGACGAGGTAGCTAGGAGAGGTGACTATAACACGATTAGCTTCAACACAGTTTCCTATCTAACGAGGTAGCTAAGAGAAGTGACTATAACGCGATCGGCTTCAACACAGTGTGCTACCTGACGAGGTAGCTAGGAGAAGCGACTATAACGCGATTGGCTTCAACACAGTGTGCTACCTGACGAGGTAGCTAGAAGTGACTATAACGCGCTTGGCTTCAACACAGTGTCTAACTGACGAGGTAGCTAGAAGTGACTATAACGCAATTGGCTTCAACACAGTGTCCTAACTGACGAGGTAGCTAGGAGAAGCGACTATAACGCGATTGGCTTCAACACAGTGTGCTACCTGACGAGGTAGATAGAAGTGACTATAACGCGATTGGTTTTGGCACCAACCAACCGTCCACTACGAGATTTTTGCCCTCACGTTTGGACCGACCGCAACCGACGGTTTGAATCGTGGGCACTAGCGTGTTACCCTACAACAGAAAGAGTGCCATAGACTATCGCCCCACTATATACAAAAACGGCAGCTCTGGCTTGTCGGGAACCAGTCCGGCGAAATGTCACCGGGGAGCCGAAAGCGAGCGGTGCGCAGTAGACTCCGCACCCACTGGGGTTCCACAGACGCGCGGAATCGGGCGTAGCGTGACAAAGTGTAGTGAAAAACCGGCCAAGTGCGAGTGCGAGAGACCCCAAAGGGTTCCGTACCATTGTCTATAAAAACGGCAAATAAAAAACGTGTCTGTTGTACGGGAGCTCCCACTTAAATATTTATTTATTCTGGTTTTGTTTAGTATTTGTTGTTATGGCCTCAGCAGAAATTCATCATCTGTGAAAAACTGCTTCATAGAGATGCAACCTGGTCACGGACGGTCAGACAGACAGACAGTGAAGTCTTAGTAATAAGGTCCCGTTTACTCTTCCGTACAGAACCCTAAAAAGAAAATTATATTATACTATACACGTCCCACTGCTGAGCAAAGGCCTCTACGGTATCTATATGGTATCAAGATCTCATAGTCCACCACGCGACCTCAATGCGGATTGGGGGACTTCACATATATTCGAAATATTTTTTTTTTACTATTATTTCGAAAATATGCCTATGGTTTCCTCACGATGCTTTCCTTCACCGCTGAGCACGTGATAAGGCAGCACTTAAAATTAACAATTTCATTGGTGGCGGCACCGGGGTCGAACTCATGTTGCTCGAGTAAATTGAATTGAAGGCGAGCGCCCGGACACTGAACTGTCACGGCTCTTGAGTGACAAACGCGGGTAGAAATTCCACTTAAACATTGCTTCTTTCAGAGACAGGAGAAAGGATTTCCAGGGATGTAGCTATGATAACATAGTCGCTAAGCTATGCTTTAAAGCAAAGGGTCCAGAGACTAGTATATGGATCTTCAAATTACCATTCCGGATATAAATATTTGCCTGCATTTTTGCGGTGGTAGGGCCATGCAACAGTGTTCGCTGTTCCACCAATGGGCAGGTCCGTCCGGGTTAGTACCACGACCACACAGAAGACCGGCGTAAAGTAGAAGTGTTGCACTTCTGCGTTTAGTCTGGTGAGTGAGGTAGCAGATGTCCACATTAATAAGAGGTGGCAACGCATCTGCAACCCAACGGGTGTTGCAAATGTCCATGGGCAGGCGGTTATCACTTAACATCAGGCGAACCGCCAGACCGTTTGCCACTTTCTCACATAAAAAAAAATAATCTGTGCGAGACTGCATAGACCCTACGATAGCAGCTGCTTGTACGATCAACGCCGGAGAATTGTACTAGAATTCTTGAAAAATTTCTATATCAGAAAGCTGGAATGAATCAGAGAACGTATATTTCTCGACATAAACAGTCTCTGGTTCTGTCCAGCAGTCTCGCAGCGTCATTCCTGTGGTGGGCTTGGTACAAAATGAAGAAACTTGTCGGTTTACCAACGCGTGAACACATATAAATGAAATTTGTTATACATAGCGAGGTTCAAGTAAATTTGATCTACAATTCAAAATTTAATTAATTTATCTAAATGTAACTAACGTCAACATACAATGCCATTTTTATTCATATCTAATCAACAGCCTAAAATATAATTATTATGCTTCTTGTTCTGAACATGACAATACTTTCATACAACTTTTCTTCCCCATTTTCAACCCTTTACAACACTTTTTTCCAAATAAAAAATAGCCTATGTCCTTTCTCAGGCTCTAGACTATCTGTGTACCAACTTTCATTTAAATCGGTGTAGTAGTTTTGGCGTGAAAGCGAGACAGACAGAGTTACTTTCGCATATATAATATTAGTATGGAAATATGGATTTCATATCAATTCGACCTATGGTTGAAAAGATAAAATTCACTGCCACCAGCGCCACCTATCCGGCACTAACGAAAAATGTTCGTCGGTGTGTACATGTCGCTCTTTATACGCGTCCTAAGTTTCATATCAATTGGGCTAACGGTTCTCGAGTTTTAGGTGAACATACATACTCATATACATTCTATTTTTATTATATATAAATAGATAATAATAATATTAATAATAAATAAAAAGTAAATATTATACATAAATACATAATGCAATAATAAATTAACTACAGCGCCATCTATAAGACCCCAACGTACTCACAAATCGTTCCGACATAATAATAATTACATCCGGTCAACACTTTCAGGAGATCCACCGATAACAAACCGATTTATGAAATATTTTATACTAGCGACCCGCCCGGCTTTGCACGGGTACAATGCATATAAACCTTCCTCTTGAATCACTCTATCTAGTAAAAAAAACCGCATCAAGATCCGTTGCGTAGTTTTAAACATCTATTCATACATAGGGACAGACAGACAGTGAGACGATTTTGTTTTATACTACGTAGTGATAAAGAATAGCTTTTACGAAACTATAACGAACAGAAATATCCAAGTAACGATAAATTCTTCATAAAAAGTATATAAAAGCGCACAAAGAAGAATATCGGACATAGAGTTTACGTGTATATTAATTATGTATTTATTTACAAAATAAAATATGTTCATCAGCTGTCTAGTATCCACAATACGAGCGGTGCTTAGTTTGGGACAAGAGAATGTTAATGTTAAAAATGTGTCCTAAAATATTATTACAAAAAAATATTACGTACAGAACCTTATCAGAAAAATGCTCGAGCTTCTCGTCGACACTCTCAAAACTGGTACAAGCCGCTCTTTTGACGACTTAAAAGCTAAAACCAAAAAAGGCGCGAAGGCGAGGCGGCAATGATAAACATGCGTCGACATTTTGCGCTTGCATCGTGTGATCGTCGAACGCTAATTTTATTTAAATTAATATCACACTTTACTGTGTCGGTGGCATGCGGCAGCCACTGTTGCACGAATGGGCAGGCTTGTCCAGGGAAGTACCACGACCTCACGGAACACCGGCGTAACACCGGCGTGAAGTGAAACTAGTATACTTCTGCGTCTCGTCTGGTGAGTGAGGTAGCCGGAGCCCACATGATCAAAAGATAGCGGCATATTTGCAACCCTACCGGTGTTGCGAATGTCCATGGGCGGCGGTTATCACTTAACATCGGGTGAACTTATCCACATTTTCATATAAAAAAATGTAGGTACATATGTGTGTCTGAGTTCGTTTGATACACCTAAAATTGGGCACTGAAAGACCGTGCTTGCTTTCAAACGCGAACACAAATACTCAGAGCTCCGTATCAGGCAGAGTGGACACTACCATGATGCATCATCGTCCTTACACCTCACGCCTAAGCGCAGTCAGAACCCGAAATAGATCATCCGCTGCATCACCGTCCCATCATCACCAACAAATCGGCTGACCAAACAGCCGATACGGACAATGGGGAGTGTTAAACATATTATGTCAACATCATCCTCATCATTCCAGCATGTTCGAGTTCACTGATGAACATAGGCCTCAAACACAGACATATGACAAATTATGTATCTACTTTTAGATAATTATATAGACTTGCTCTTGCAGACTTCTCTTCGATGAAGGACTAAGAAGATGTTACAAAAAATATATAGTGATAATAAATTATATAGCGTTATTATGAACTTAGCCGGTGACATGAAATTAACACCATGTAGTTAGTTGATAAATGACCCTTTAGTAATGTGTCAAACATCAAGAATTTATACTTCTTTTATTATTTTATTTTATTAAAAATTTTATCCCCAGCGCCAGTACTCTGTTTGTGAATAAAATATTAAATGAAATAGTT